TGTTGGGACAGGAGATCTGAAGGTTCTGAATTTCTGAGGTAACAGGTGGAGCACAGCCTCAATCAATGAGAATATAAAATCACTAAATCCCAGAACTTGCCCTGCCTCTGGCCCCAGCAATGACACCTTTAGTTTATTCCYTCTGCAGGTTAAGGAGGGACTGGAGGACCCCAGGTACTTTCCCAGCCTTGACCTTAGGTTTTGATGAGATTTAGTATGCTGATTAGGAGCTTRCCAAAATTGGAGCAACTCTCCTCTCAGGGGTACATTTAGTTTTTAGTTGTTAAAAATATACCCCAAGGCAGAAATTTYAGGACATTTAAGTGACCAGGAAGCCAATCAAAAGTTTATTCTGACCCCTTTCTCCTTTCCCTGAACTCAAGCATTCCCRCATTGGCCTCAGCCATCAGAAGGTTCATTCTTCATACATGCCTGAGCAGATTCAGACCTCCCAAAATGTTTTGGGGAGAAGTAGACTTAGAGGGGTTTGCCCTGCCTCTGTGAGAGAAGGAATGTAGCAAGCATTAATCCTTCTGAGGCAATGCCTTTAGATGTGATTTGCTTGAGAACAGCAACAGTCACCATTTATGATTTTTCCCCCCGAGAGAATAATTGGTTAATGTTCCCATGAAATCTGGCTCATCCTATTAGCACTAATTTGTGCTTAAAGTGCTGGAGGTATATTCTGATCTGACTTATATGAACAAGGAATCAGAGGGCGATGGCGGGGGATATGATATTGGGAAATACAGTTCCTTTTTTGTAGGGATTCAAAATGCATTACTGGACTTGAAGATAAGAAGAATCTTTGCCTCAATGAGGACCCYCAGCACCATTGTCTGTTGAGGATTTACTGTATTATCAGTTTACAGTCATCTAACTAAATTCTTGTGATAACCCTCTKGGGTAGGTACTATGATTATATTCCYGTTTTTCACATAAAGAAACAGACTTTGGGAGGGTAGGTTATACAGCTGGACCATCTGCAGTGTGGCCCTCAAGCATCAGCAGTGGTCTATTCTCCTTGAGTGTGGTCCAGTGTGCTGRTGTCTGTTACCTCTCTATTAACTCACTATGTTGGATTAATTGGCCGAGCTATTCATTTCACAGTTGCCCAGAATGCAGTCTGCATCCTCCTCAAGATGAGGTTCTTGGACTGAACATAATGCAGCACCTCAGGAAGGCGTTCATGTGAAGCCCTAGAGAGCTACTACAACTCCAAGATCCCACACCTTCACATGCATATTCAATGGAAGAAGCACTACTCTCTGCTGCTTTCACTGTCTTTTCCCTTCCCTTTGTTTAATCCTGTATAGTAATTTTAAGTTCTTCAAAAGTAACAGTTACAGAAAAATCATAATATCTCAAAATATCTTACTAAATAGTACTCAAAGCTGGAGAACCAGATAAACAATATAAAGATTTCTGCATATCTTTGGATTGCTTTTGAGAAATTAAGTTCAAACATCTAAAAGATTATGAATTTCAGGATTTGCAGTTCACATATAATTTATATACACATGGCCCAGTTGGGGATCCGAGTGCTCTCAGAGATGTCCTTGCTGTTTTGCATTGGGCTGAGTTCCTCCGAGCAGCTGCCGTACAACTCGGAGCCACCCTTGTGGTATAAGCCTTGATGCTGGAGAGGAAAAGTGAGAACCAAGCTGTCAACAACCCCAGTTCCTGCCAAACCCCATTTGTCTGCCTGCCAGCCAGGATTCTAAAAATGCCTTTGGGAATGAATTTTACTTTTGGCTTTTACTGAATATGAAATTCTACTATGTATATATAGCCTCAGTGAGCTGACCCAACTTCGGGATAGCTGATATACATTGTCTTACAATATTCAGAATTCATTTTTAGAAGAGGTAATAATGGGACTCTTGAAGGGGGTCTTGCCTCTCTTCTTCAGTCTGCGCTCCCCAACTGTGCGGAGATACCATTCTGAAATTCCCATTGAGGTTGTCCATAGTTCTGCAAACTAGTATAGGACCAGAAGCAAAGCCAGTGCAAAGGTGAGGGTGGCTTTGTCACAACCTGGAGGACCTTCATGTACTTGGGTTTAAACTTTCTGGTTCCTCAAAAGAGGCAACATCAAAATATTGAAGGAAATGGAGGATCACTAAGTGCTGCCTGTAACTTGTGGCAAATTTTATTACTTTGGATCAGTGTTACAAAATTTAAACAATTTTGGATCAGCCTCAGTTTCAGCAGGACCTTGTTAAATCACATCTATGTTAGCAGCACTGTGGGGCACCGGCCTCACAGCCATTCAAGGCTTAAGTTGGCAGGTACCTGGCAGGTTCTTAGTGCTGCACCTGGCCTGTGACGGGCAGCATTAAGGGTGAGGTACTTACTTTACACAATTGAAATGTGCCTTTTCCCCAAAGTCTGTTTTCTGGTAGTCTTATTAATAAGTTTCAGAATAGTAAATACCAAATGTATTTGCCTATGATGGCCTTGTAGACTTTGGAAATGTACTTAAAAATTAATATTTTGCTTTAATGCTTTTGTTTCTACACACCCCCTCCCCAAGCACTTCCTGCCACTTTTATGAATTGATTTAAAGGCAGCTGAGCATAGAACACAATATGTTTTTCTAGCTACAACATGGACATGGCTAACATGTACCAGTTTGCTTCACCTTCCAGTGCCCTTCTTCCCTGGAGGCAGAACAAAAACTCAATCCTCATGAGTYTTCTGAGGGGCTCCAGGGAGCCAGCGTTGGATTCCTTAAAGAAGGGAACGATCAGACCCCCACAGGCAGTTCAGTCACATATCCCTGACACTCTCACACATTTCAGAACTTCCAGTTAAAAATATTTTATTTTTTAAAGCTTATACAAAAGTCATGTACAAAAATGTACATAATATTTTTCATTCAATTTACATTTTAAAAAGGACATTGGTAATTTCAAATTCTTTCTGCTTACACGTCATGTAAATATTGTTCTGGGCCCATATTACTTGGGAAAATTTTATTCATTYTTGACCATATTCATGACTGTGTAGGTATTTTCAGGTGAGTTAGATCTGCCATGGAACTGATTTCTCTAGCTACACAGGTAACCATGACTGGCTCCATTCCAGGTAAAATKAGATTCTCTAAAAGATATAACTGCAACTTTGTAATACTATGAAGTTGTAAATGTACATAGACCTCCTTTTCACATACATATTTGTCACATCTGTGCTTCTTTCTGTTCTTGGTCTATATACAAGCATCTACTAAGAAGCTCTTGGGAGACAAGTGCAGATGCCAGATGGGGCACAGTCTGTTTGGGCAATGGCTGGTGCTGCTGCCTGACTGGTATGTATCTATCACTCCTGCTTGGAGCCTGCCATGGTGGCCACCATTTGTGACAGCGGCAGTGTGCACAATGTGAATCTATAAAAATTTGAAAAAATGTTCAGCCAGTTTGGCAAATAATGCTCTTTAGTACATTTTGAGGGTCAAGTAGGCAAAAAAATAAAAATGAACGAAGGAGAGAAAAGCACATTCCGGGTCTCTTTAAATGTGGGCTTTAGAGGAAATGCCACTTAACATTTAGGATAGTTTTGTCCCTTCCACTGCTTTAATCAAGTGGATGCTAAAAAAGAACATCCCAAAGGCATTGATCTTGGCGAAGAAAGCACTTCTTCCCACTCGAGGGAGAAGAATCCAGGAAGCAGCGTGCCGGGAAAGCAAAACAGAATTTAGATGACAAACAGTTTTTCACCAAGCAGTTAATAGCTGATGGTGTTCAACAATAAATACGCCATCAAAAGCAGAAAAATGGTATCTTCATTTTCAGATTTAAAGATATCTTTTTTAAAAAAATGACMAATTTTAAAATGTGATTTTTCTGACAAATCTGTGATTGGTTCTGGTTACCAGGTCTAGTTCTCACTGCTGAAAACTAGGCAACCCCCAGACTGACTAGGCTTAATGGGTTGTATCACAGCCATTCCTTTATTCTGATACCAAGCCCAAGTATTTACCTGGTAAAGAATTCCAAGCTCAGCCACATTCACAAATGCTCAGCCCTTCAGGGTTCCAAGACTGCTGCTGCAGTGTAGTGTTTATGACAGGCACAGCCCAGAGGCATTTTTCCTGGGCTAGAAATGTCGCACCTGGGAGCAGACACACCCTGCAAGAGGCTCTTCCCCCAGCAATTGTTGCTTCAGAATGAGACAAAGCTAAAACCTTGGTGATGTGTTACTCTGCTGAAAAAAATCTTTTGACTTTAAACTGGCAACCACAGGGAAGAAATTTCATCTAGTAGCTCACACTGCACTCTAACAATTAGTTAATTAAAAAAAAAATTAGTCCAGTCTCAAGTTTGAAATTGGATTTGGTCTTTCATGGAAATTTCCCCTGAGTTGGGAGATCACCAGGATTGTGCCAACTTTGTTCTAGCAGCAAAGGACAAACGTCTACTGTCTTAAGCACTTTTAAGCTGGTCGTTATCCTAAACATTGCACCTCCATGTCTTAGAAAGTGAAATCTAAACCAAATTTTTCAAAGATGAAATGCAGTAATGATACCATACTTATATAAACATGTATTTCAATATTTACCCTAGACTGAACACAACAGAAAGTGCTTATGAAAATTACAAGCCTTTGCTATCTCTAATTCTTATGATCATATAATCAAGCTTATTCAAGCTTTATCTTTGTTATTAAATAACCCTTGACATTTATTTTGTTGGCATGTGCTAATAAACATACACATTCCCAAGAGAGCAAAGGAAAAACACCGGTCTGCCGCATTCTGTCGTTTGAAGCCAATTAAGCCACAGTCTCTAGTGCTTAGAGATGCTAGGCTGCAGCAATGGTTGTCATGGAAACAGATTTGCCTCTGCGTTTCTGGCAGAGTCAGAAATCACTGACTCATACGCCTTCAAAAAAGATCTGGTGTACACATAGCTCTCCACCCCCAACTTAATTTGGCTTTTTTTTTCTCTGAAGAATATAGATTAGAAACTACAAAGGAAAACACAATATTCCATACACAATTTACTATAAGTTGGTGTTTTCTTTTATTGAATCATACAAATTTGAATGGGGATTCCTGAATAAATCTTTTAGTTAATTTACCTTTGGCAGAAAGAACAGATTTCAAAAACCTACTAGCTTCTCACTTATATGGAGTTTAAAAATTCTATAGGATATTTTTTCAAAACAATACTCTTAGATGTGCTTCAAAAGTGAACTGATAATTTGATTTATATCATAGCTTATTTAAGAGAACAGTTAAAAAGGACAGACTAGACATGTATTTCTTTTTAAAAATACAATTTTTGGTCATGTGAATGATTCATGTTCAGATTTCAAAAATAGAAAACATCCTAAAGTGCATCATTTTATTTATAATATAACTCCTTGAAATYATAACGATCTGTAATGTAAACAGTAGAGCAAAGAATATCAAACTATATTTTCATGTACATTTAAATTTGTAGGATTATGTACCATCTTTAAATGTGTGGATTAAAATGAGGGCACTTCCAACACATAGCTCATGCTTCTATATGATTAAGAAAAACTTAAAGGCATTCCTTTCTCCTGACCCCCCTCCCCACCATCACTTGAACAGAGGAGAGCTGCTATCTCATTTCAGCAATGGAGAAGTAAATCCGCCACCAGGTGTTTAAGACCCATTATTACAATTGACAACTGGTTGGTGCGGCTTTACATTCTATCCCTTTCCTTTTTAGAAAACAAAACTGCAACCTTGAAGAAAGCAACTCTCAGAACAGGAGGAGGTCCCTGCTGTCCTGTCCACCCTGCAATATTGTCTTCAGGAGGTGGAGCCTCTGAGATGGCACTTCAGCCTGGTGGACAAGCAGACACCAGGGCTCTGCCTCACAAAGCACAAGGGTGGACCCCAAACCCTCTTCCTCAGGGCAGACACAGAAGGTGAAAAAGAAAAACAAATCACAGCGTGACATCAAGCACAATGAAGAGATGAATGATTTGGTGTCTTAAATTCCCTGGTCCCTCCAAAACGTCTAATATAGACAGCTTTGTGACACAGTCTTTGAAAAAAATTACAATCAAAATTGGCTATATATATGCCGTTTTTTTTCTACTCTATATGCTCTTGAAAGTAGTGTGAGCTAGATTCTGCCTTGAGCTGAGCTCTGAGGGCTACATTTACCCGTCTGGGGATTTTAGTGCAGATTTACTTTTTTAGAAAAATTAAACTCTGGTAGGTATATTCAGGAGGCTGATGGCACAGGCTCCCTCTCTCACATGATCCTCTACACTGAGGCTAAGAATTAAGCAAGGCCCTTTAAGTTTGGCTAGAACCACAACAAAATCAAGCCCTCGGCAGGTTACATAGGCATGCTGGCCTCGCTTAGYGTTTAATATTAAAACCAGACTGGTAAGTGCAGTCAGTGTTCAAGAAACAATCTCCAGGCTCTTCACCTGTTACCTGATTTAAAAATCAGTATTAATATGGCTGCTGCTRCAATCCCTCTGTCCTCTGAAGATAGATTAAGTCCTCATCAGGGACTGGATCTGTCAGCTGAGGAAGTCCTGAAGAAACGCACCCTCACATAGATGACTGCTATGCCACTATGGGCAGATGCAGCTTCCATCTGAGAGCTGGAGGGAAAATCAATTCACACGTGGGGAAGGCGCAGCTCTGTGGGAAGGTCACTAGAATGGCCAAGGCAGCAAATAGGGCTCCAATGCATGGTCACACTTGACTGGGTCCAGAGAGGGACCTGGACCTCCACAGCAAATTCACTCTACAGRGTAAAGTCCTGAGCTTGTTTTTATCACAGTTAGAGAATGTTCTCTCTGGTTTCTCAGTTGTCCAGGGAAAAACAGTGTATAATCTCTGTAGATGGGTGTGGCTAAGGTAGTGATTCATCACTGTTAGTGTTAGTGAAGTTCCCACTACAAGTGTGTAAGTGTGCAGGAATCTTGACTTCTTATGACAAAATTCCCAAGTCAGGTCACACTGTCATCTTCCATGGAGGCAGTTTCTAAGGCAGGCAGCAGGAACAGGAGCCCACCCAAAAGGCCYGGCGGCAGAAGGGCGTCAGGCTTTGGAGGTTCAGATCCAAGGCTGCCTTCTAGATCTGCTCTGTACCAGGAGAACAGTAAGTCCTCTTTGCATCCGCAGGCACCCCTTGCTGGGCTGGGGTGCCCCTTACATGGACTTGGAATCAGTGTCTCTCTTGCTGATGAGCACCTCTAGGAGTCTGAGTTTCGCCTTTATGTGTTTGTATTCGTTGTATTCTTCKGCCATAGGAGTGCGGTCTTCCTTCTGGACGTTTCTAGTGGAAACAAAGGAAAGGGGGGCCCCCCGAGGCAAATTATCATTATGTGATAACTCTACAGTTTATCAACCTGTGGAATCACTGTTGTCAAGTGGCACTTGGTACCTAGCCAAGGCTGGATTTAGATAAGCACTGAAGAGTGGTTTTCCCCTGAAGGCACCGTGCAACTGAGCTTTTACAGTTAATCTGGCATTTTGTAGAATGCTATGAAGGACTAAGAAATACAGAGAGTCTTGCTCGGCTCTTASGTATGATTTCACAGTGAGTTCCTATTAACTGAAATCCTTTATACATACTTAATATTTTCTCATTTTTATATATTTCATCTAAGAAGCCATTAAGTTTCTAATCGGCAATTTGTACACCCACAACATGCAGTTGTTTCAAGAACAGAGAATTCATTCTCTTGCTTATAAAAGTGATCCTGGGATTCAGCAACTGGATCACGTAACATTAATAAACCTTTATAGTTTACTAATTTTATATGCAGATTTTTTTTTTTTTTATATACGCAAGTATCAGTTGGGTCCAGTGCAGTACTAGTTCTGTGTATCCGTGATCTGACATCGCCCTTGCAACAACCTGCTGTGAAGGTGCTGTGGTCCACGGTCCACACACAGTGAAACCAGGAGCACCTGTCAGGCTCCCTGCAAAGCCTCTGCTCTCCACCCTGGTACCATGTGAAGTCGATTCTCCTTGTACTGTGAAATGCCCCCTCTAAAGGTTCAAACCCCGGGCTTCCCTTTCTTACTATTAAAGAGCAAGTGTGGGCAAGGGGGATAGCATGAGTCTTTATTTGTTTAGTGAACTAAAACTAAACAGATTTTATTCATGTTCTGCTTTGCTCTAGGCAAGAGTTCTAGATGGCCCCTCAGCAGGGAACAGGCGCCTTAGGATTCTGAACCTCTGGCACCCATTCCCCCTTTGCCCTGTGAGGGCTATCATTCTGTCAGATAGGAAATGGAGATCTTATGATAGTGTAAGTCACTCATAATTCTACTTTTTTTTTTTTTTTTGTACTTGGGATTGAACTCAGGAGCACTTGACCACTGAGCCACATCCCCAGCCCTATTTTGTATTTTATTTAGAGACAGGGTCTCACTGACTTGCTTAGTACCTTGCTGTTGCTGAGGCTGGCTTTGAAATTGTGATCCTCTTGCCTCAGCCACCCAAGCTGCTGGGATTACAGACATGCTCCACCACGMTTGGCTATCATTTGTATTTTTTTAAAAAGTTGTACATGTTACATAACAGTTCCTCACGTATAAGATACTGTCCATAATATGTGACAATAAGAGCAATSAAGGATACATAGATAATCCAAACATGCTTAGAAAGAAGATGGATTGGRGAAACACATCAAAATATTACTCTTTTTTTTGTTTTGATATCAAGGATTGAAATCAGAGGAGCTTAACCATGAGCTACATCCCCAGCCCTTTTGATTTTTTAAAATTTTGAGACAGGGCCTTGCTAAGTTACTGAAATTGGCTTTCAACTTGCAACCCTCCTGCCTCAGCCTCCTAAAGCCTCTGCAATTACAGGTGTGCACCACTGTACCCGGCAAAATATTAATCTTGATTTGTCTTTAGGTATTTGGGGACTATTTTTTATCTGCTCATCTATATTCTCTAAATATCCTGTACTATGTGGAGAATGAAAAGAAAATGTTCAGGTATTAAAAATGTAAAAATTTTGAGAAAGTCAGCATAGGGCAGATCCAAATCMGAGATCTTAAAAGTAAATTGACATAATATTTGAAAAAAAAAAAAACCATTTCCCCAGACTTCAGGACACATAAAAGAGTACTCAAATACTGAAACTGTATTCAGAGTTGAAATAACTTGGACTGATATAAAACCAACCTAAAATGATTAAATCTAACTCCAATGTATACAGATGACTGTGCCTTAAAACTCACTGGGATAAAAAACAATTCTCAACCAGGTGGACTTATTTTATATATATTCTTCTCGTGTATGTTTTTCAAACTGGGAACTATCATTTTTTTTTTCATGTTACTGGGGATTGAACCCAGGGCCTCAGGCATGCTAGGCAAGCATTCTACCATTGAGCTACACCTCTAGCTCAATCTGAGTTTTTAAAGAGCTTTAAGATCAGTGATGGAGCTGGGGTTGTGGCTCCAAGGTAGAGCGCTCGCCTGCCTTGTGGGATGCACTGGGTTTGATCCTCAGCACCACATAAAAATAAAATAAAGATATGTGTCCACCTATAAACTAAAAAATAAATATAAAAAAAAAGATCAGTGATGATTGAGAGTTCCCTTTTCCTTATTTCTTTAAGGAAGAAAAAAACCCTCAGTGCTCTCAACTTGAAATTCAGCTCCAGATTGCTTGTTTTAGATGAAAATTTGATGTGACAGATTAGTTTTATGCATGTTAGCTGAATCTGCATCAGTCAAGGACATTGCTCAGGAGCGTTTCTTCTTGAAGGGGCACATAAATCTCCCCTTCTTGCTGTCAACCTCTAAGGGTACCTGGGCACAGACCCAAGCACCAGGTTTCAGGGAGGATGCAGAACTGCCCCCATCCTGGAGGCATTCCACAGATCTGTCAGGAACAAGGTGCTAGTTGTGTGTAGAGAGGAGGTGGGGACAGAAGGGACACATGTCCTACCTTCCATTTTGTCTGAAGAAATTATCTTCAAAATCACGAAGTTTCTTTCGAATTTTTTTCTTTTCTTCTCTCATTTCCTGAAGGTGTTCCAAGAGTTCAGGTCTAAGAGGAAGRAAAAAAAAATGTCAGGAAATTAAATCTGAGTTGTTATAAATGTAACTTGACAGGGGTTATGGAGACAGAAGGAAGCAAGTAAATTAAATTGTTGTGAGCACTAAATGCACCGAGGGGCAGCAGAAATGGGTGTTTTTTTCTCCCTTGAAAGCCYGAACATGCCAACAATACAGGCATCCACCGGGGGTTCCTGCTAGTTATGCATTCTTGGGCTTTGTGAGACCCCACAGCACTTTGTCATGTTTTTCTTTGCGAGAAAGAGATGCCATCGGTGCCCAGTGTGTGTTAAAGCTGTAGTAGAACCACACCACACAATGCCATTTAGAGAGACATTCTGGTTATTTCAGCAAGAGCTCAAAAGCTCCCTCAAATAACTATGGGAGAAAGCATAAAAGGAAACTGAGACAGGATTTTTTTTAAATCAGTCACTGTTTTCTCCACCCAGAGGCACCCCAGGTTAACCACTTGTGTTTTGTCAATTTATTTAAATACAAAGGCTAAGATAATATTTATGAAAGTTATTTTCTCTGACCTATTTCAATACCACCCTCAAAACGACATACATGGACGCAGCGTGCAGATTTGAAAGCCCTGTGTCCTGGCTGCATTTTGATGGTATTTTATCATCCATTGGGGAAATAAACCCATCGGCATCATCTTCGAATTGGTCCAGAAAACAACGTGCACTGAAATCTGTTTTGAGAGTGACTGTGAAGTCAGGCTTCGTGTGGCTATCGTCTTCTGACCCYTCCTCTTCTTCCTGGAGACACACAGCAACCCCAGTAAAAAGCTGGTCACATTTTTGGGCATGCTTTCACTATGAGTATCATTTAAAAATCATCTAATAATTCAGATTTCATGTAGTTTCTTCAGTACCTATCATATTAAACATGCTGTAGYGAAGGTATAGAGGCAACACTGGCAAAACTGAGAAGGCTTTCCCAGTTGGTCTCAGCTGTGCCTTYGGAGCTGCAGTCCCTTTACTTCATAGGAGTAAATGCTACATTTTAAAATTTAAATTGTCAAACGTTTAAAATTTTACAAATATCTGACTTTTTAAATGAATTTTCTTCTTTTTTCTTTTGGTATTAGGGATTAAAACCACTGAGCCACATTACCAGCCCTTTTTGCTTTTTATTTTGAGATAGGTTCTTGCCAAGTTGCTTAGGGCCTCACTAGGTTGCTGACTTTGAACTTGAAATCTTCTTGCCTCAGCCTCCCAAGTCACTGAGATTATAAGCATGTATCACTACGCCTGGCAAGTTCTTTTTTTTTTTTTTTCTAAAATAATTGTCATCTGTGTAATTTTTATAAGAATTGAGATAATGTAGCCAGATGTATGATGCATGCCGATAACKCCAGCTGTATGGGGGAAGAAGCAGATTGCAAGTTGGAGGCCAGCCTTGGCAAGACTCGGACTCAAAATAAAAAGGGCTGGGAATATAGCTCAGTGAAGAGCACTTGACCAGTATGCTAGAGGCCTTGGGTTCAACCCTAAGTAGTATGGAAAATAAAATGAATTGAGATAACATATGTCAGGTACCCAATGAGGCACAGGTATGCTACTCTTAGTAGTAACTTTTGAAAATATGTGAATAATAACAAAATARACAGTCAAGCAAAATCATAAATGATAGATACTGGGTAGATTGTAAAAGATAAGATATGAGCAGCCGGGGAAGAGTCCGTGATCAACTCAMTAGCACTGGTGGCTTAAAAACATATCAGGAGTTGGTGGGTGATGTAGCTCAGTGGGAGAGCGCATGCCTAGCATGTGCCAGGCCTTGGGACATCCCCAGCACACACACAAAAAAAAACAACAACAACAAAAAAAGAACAAAAAAAGAAAAAGAAAAAGAAGATGAAAACTAGACATTTTTCCTTTTTTTTTTTTTTTTTAAAAACAGGACTGGTATAATGTTGTGATTTCAATAAAGAGTTGAACAGACCTTGTGAAAGGAAARCTAGTGGGGTGGAGGTGGGGGGACCAGTTGCCATCCTCCTGTAAACCCAGTGACTTGGGAGGGTGAGGCAGGAGGATCACAAATTCAAGGCCTTAGCAATTTAGTGAGACCCTGTCTCAAAACAAAAAACAAAAAAAGACTGGGGATAWAGCTTAGTGGTAAAGTATCCCGAGTCCAATCTACCAACAAAATGAAACAAAAAAACAAAACAAAAAAGCCGGCTGCGCAAATTTCAGCCCAGGGATGATGCAGTGGTGAGGCRACTTGGAGGGAAGTCCACAGCAGCTCTTTACCTGACCCTGCCTCAGTCACCATCAGTCACTTGGACAAAGACATAACAGGCATATTCCCCCAATGTGTGAATCTTGATTTACTCTATCTCATAAGGCTGGAATAGAAGTATAAAAAGTAACTGGGAAAGCTTAAGGTCCGATAATTAGGTGAGGACAGAGAGCTGGGTTCACAGAAGCAAGCACTGGACAGGGAAGGACGCTGGGGACTGCACAAGTGCGGCACAGTGTGACTCAACCTGAGGAGCACCGGGGTTCTCGCAGGGTGATTTCGTCCCCTAGGMGACACGTGGCCATGCGTGGAGACAGTGTGGGTTGTCACAACAGGGGAGGGGGTTGTGGTAKGTGATTGGCATCTGAGGCCAGAGACGCTGGGGAGCATTCTACAAAACTCAGGACAGCACCCCCAGCCTAGCCTCGTTGTCAGTGGTGTCAGGCTGTCACCTTGCCCTGGGAGGACTAAAATGAACTAACAATATGTTGATGAGCACATAGACAAGGACTTGGAGAACTAAAAGGACGTTGGCCATCCAGATTAAGGACTGTCCCAGCTAAACTGTACCTGGAAAAACATCTAATTCTGGGTACTAGTTTAGATGTAGATAGGGATGTAGATAAATGTGTGTGTGTGTGTGTGTGTGTGTGGTGGGGAGATAGCAGAGCCAGGAGATGGCTGAAAAATCTGGAACCCATATTACATCAGAACAGTAGGAAAACTTGGAAAAAAGATTTCCCAGGGTGTGGCATGGGTGACTATAAAAGTATGAAGAGCTCTTACGGGGGAGAAGCTGCCTGTGTAGTCCATGTTGCTCCAGAGGGCAAAACCAAGCCCACTGGATAGAATGTAATAAGCTGATAGTAACTATAAATGTGATAATTTTCAATGTGATATTTACCTTTTTTTTTTTGGTGCTGGGGATTGAACCCAGGGCCTTGTGCCTTCGAGGCAAACACTCTACTTACTGAGCCATATCCCCAGCCCTCATTGTGATATTTAAATTGCACATATAATTAAGTTATGCTTTATAATTTAAAAAATATTWWAAAAAATACATTTTTAGCTATTAGGAGCCACCGCACCCTCCCCATCTCTGTAAGTGTTTTGAGCTTGATGATGGGATCCCTCTGCAGGGGCAGTGTTTCTATTCTACTAAGGAAGTTTTAGAGGAGATCCTGCAGAAGGTAGAACTGACTAGGTTTCCTTTTGGCTGGAATATCCAGGGCTTCAAAATTTGAGCTCTGTTTCTTACACAGCTGATTCTCTCCTATAAGCAATTAAACCAGGGATGGGTTTAAAGAAACCATTAGATACAAACTTATTTGCAACACATCAAATTCTAAATTGTATCAGAAATGACAAGAATCAGTGCAGTCAAAATACATGTGAATAAGCCTGGCTAATAGGAACAACACAAACCAAAAGGCAGCACTGTTTACAAAAGCATCAGAGTCATTGGAAAATTATCTAAAACTTTTGACCATGATGTGGGTCAGAGATAATAATCCATGGCCGAGCTATTTTTGTGAAAAAATATTAAGCCTAAGAATAAAAATGGGAATAATATCCTTTTAAAAGAAGAGTACCATTAGGCTATCTTCCATTCATTTAATGAGGCAATTATCGAGTGCCATATTTTGGATGTATTCAAAAACACATTTTCCTCCAGTAGCAATTTCACTACATGCCAAGAGAAACACRTTAATTTTCATACACACAATTGCACAAATTTCTTCAATTATGCAAAATTACCTGCTAGACAAAATGTATCATCTTTTATCAACATCAAGGCATATTGTAAGAAAATAGCCCTATTTTTAAAGACACAATGCAGCACACTGGCCCAGATTTCTCAATAGCATTTAGAGCATATTCATAAGTTCTGCTTGATAATATGAACAGTAAGCACAGTCATTGGCGAATACTTTCAATTAGACATATCAAGAACTTTAGATCTCTAAGATGTAAGAAAAGGAATCAAGTAGATAAAAGCTGACTTTGTAGCTTGTGACACCTTACCTTAGGCAAGAAAATGAAGTTTTCAATTTCTAACCCTCAGTAGGAAAGATTATTCTGAAAAGTCATTCCTAACTACACTAAACAAATGGACGTGTCACAGAATATGACAGGTGAAACTTAAAACTTACTACTTTTGAGTTTCACTCCCTCTTCAAACCTAAATAACTTAAAAAAAATAACATGATTTTATTTTAAAAAAGTGCCTTTAATTTTCATCTCTAGAGTCCCACATTAGGCCGTCCATTTTAAATGTCCAGTTGTCTAGAAACAAACACACACAAGAGGCTGATCCTAGTGCSACCAATTAGGGTCCCACAGGCACAGAAGTGCCTTCTAGTGAAGGCAGCCATGGATGACAGGGATTATCTGTATAAAATTCATAATTACTACTGGAAAAAACCCAAGGCCTATGTTCTAGTGAYTGCCAGTCACAGCACTACATCCCCAGATGAAGCATTGATGATAACACTGGTCCTGAGGAATAAATATGGTGGGGGAAGGAAAAGTGGGTGAAACCACCAGCAAATCTGTCGAAGACAACTTGGTATTCAGCTATAAAAGTATAACTTTTCATTGCTTTATACGTTTCTAATTGCTTTTAAAAATACACTTGGTATATGAACTTTTTTTTTAAAGTTAGTCTAATGAACTAATTTTAAGATTTTTGGAATAYAGAAAAGCCATTCCCCAGCTGGGAAAAACAAAGAACGAAAAAGATTCTGGAAAACAAAATGAGTTCTGAAAGCAAAGTAAAAACTAAAGAGCAAAAAAAAAAGAGCGGAGAACGAAATGAGACTAAGGAAATCAGCTAGTCTATGATCTAAGTAGAAGGGGAGTGTTTAAAGTTGGTTATGGGCAGCTATTGATTTGTAGGGCACACTACAAGAAGCCGTCACCCAAGGGTACAATCACAGCCTTTTCCCACAGGATGGGAGATGCGAGTTTCGCTATGGGTTAGCAGCTGAGGTCTTCACCTTTATCTCCTTGAAGAAGGAAGCAGTTTCACCCTCGATAATTGGTTGCAGCAAAGGGCTTCTCCGCTTGCTGGAGGGGGAACCCTGTGACAGGTGTTAACAAGTAGGTTACATTGAGAACCCCTTCCCCTCTCCCTCCTCCTCTGGGCTTCCTCTGGCCACACCAGTATTTGATTACAGTCTTTTAACTATTCTAACCCCTTCCCACCTAAACCTCCCAGGAAAACCTAAAATGACCAAAATTCTTCTCCATGTTGTAGCTTCCCTTCAGAGCCCACACCCATCCATCAGGGAAGACAACTGGGTCAAGAAGAGCATGTGACTAGGTTAACCAAACACTCAGAAAAATCCTAAAGGCAAACACACCTGACTCTCTTTCCTCTTTCCTCCTGGTCACCGTAACTAGAACACTACAATCAGCTAAGGAGAATAGCCAAGCTCAAAAAGCAACACGAACGTTATCTACCTTCTCTGTTTAGGAACCCTAAGGGTTCTTAACTGGAGAAAAAAAAATAATTCCTTAGATTCAATCCATTTATTTATGAGTTTATTCTATAGGAAATTTCTAGAAGAGTAGTTGTCTTCAAATACAGCTGCCTGTATCCTCCCTTAGTCATAAAAAAAAATCACATTAAAAGAAATATAAAAGCATATTGTAGGCGTAGGAAAAACCAGGGGATTTAAGGAAGGAACAGACAAGATCAGCAGCTGAAATGAATATGGATCTCCACAGTGACTTCAAAGTGATGGGGTGAGTGCCCATAAAGAAAAGTCAGCACAGGGCATAAGGGCAACCAATCAGGTAATGTCCCCGCCCCCCAGAGGTGGGGAGGGCACTAAYATCCCACTTTAGTGACCAGGGGTGGATGCCTTGTGGCTGGGCGAAGGGATGGGAGCAGGCTGGCTGGTGCTGGATGGCCTTGCTGCTCCCTAACCTGACAAGATAACAATCCAGGGGCCAAGAACAGCAACAGCGAGCCCAAGGATGGTGGACACAGAGGGCTACTTCAGAACCATTAGCTTGACTCCCTTTTCTTACACTCCCTCTACTTCTCCACAGCACCCAAGAGCAGGAGACTCTTTCTAGAGTTCCTTAGAGGATCCTCCCTAGATTGAACTCTCAAGGGAGCTGTCCCTCTGTGGGATGAGGAAAGACTGTGGACAGAGCCCCTGGGACTAGAGAGGTACTGTTTGGAGTGAAGAGCCTGGAGAAGGTATAGCCCCTGTCCCCTGTGCTCTGTCTTTGAGGAAAGGGTCAGGGAGGTGGCTAAGCACATGTTAGATAGATATATATGGCCAAAGTGTGTCTCCCCAAAGTGTGTTGGGGGGGCGGATTCTATAAGCTTCAGATGTGCTCACTGTAGGCAAAGGTAGCCTYAGAAGTCTGATAAAATCTTGATTCCTCAAGCTTGTGGGCCATGGATATTAATAACTGGTTCAAGCCTTTCCTTTCATGAGAAAGCAGGTTAGAGCCCTATTAATATACCCAGGGTTCTTTCAATCAGAAAGGGAGTGTTATCAACAATAGGCAGGTATTGCACTCACAATGATGGGTACAGTGTTGACCCGGGACAGGATCTGTTTCACTAGCCGGTACCTGTCGTATAGTGGCTTCATAACCTGACGTTCATTCYTTGTCACCTGAAAAGCAAGGACAAGATTATTAAGAAGCCAGTTTCCAGGACTCATGCTACCAGCTGTCCAAGAGAACAGCCCTGGTGGGCCCTTGGGTCCTACAGAAAATACAGATGTTACAACTTGAGTGTTTTAAAGAGTTTATTTAAACTATTACTTATTCAAAAAATATTGAAAATACATACTTCAGTGGCAGATCAGTGAAAATCATTCTATTGGTAGTATTGCTTTTCATAAATCAGAACTATGGCCATTCTTCCCAGCTATCCCAGTCCTTGGTAATTATCCTAAAGAACTAAAGTCATCATGCTATAGTGACACATGCATACAATTGCTATSACATATGCATCTTCATAACAATTCACAACTGCCAAACTATGGAACTAGCCTAGGTGTCTGTCTCAGTGAATGAATGGATAAAGAAAATGTGATATATATGAACAATGGGGTTTTACTCAGCCATAAAGAAAAACAAAATGACATTATTTGCAGGAAAAATGAATGGAACTAGAAACCATTATGTTAAGTAAAATAAGCAAACTCAGACGCTCAAGGGTCATGTTTTCTCTCATATGTGAAAGCTGGAGAGGAAAGAGGAGAGAAAGGTAGAGGAGAGGGAGAGGGAGGGGGGAGGGGGAGGGGGAGAGGAGGAGAGGGGGAGAGAGAGAGAGAGGGAGAGAGAGAGAGAGAGAGAGAGAGAGAGAGAGAGAGAGAGAGAGWGTGTGTGTGTGTGTGTGTGTGTGTGTGTGTGTGTGTGTGTATGCGTGCACTGCGGGTAGTCTCATGAAAATCAAAGAGATCAGTGGAATAAAGAAAAAGGACTATAAGGTGGGTGGGGGAAATGCTGCGGAGTGATATTGGCCAAATTATGTTGTGATATTGGCCAAATTATGTTGTGATATTGTGTGCATGTACCAATATGTAACAACAAATCCCACCCTTATGTACAACCACAATGCACCCAATAAAAAGTATGGAAAATTTTTTAAAAAGAAAAAAATATAAATATTTGTACCAAGCAACAAACAATGGTCATTTTTAAGTTCCTGCTTAAAACTACTCAAAGGTTCAAAATTCCCAGAGGACTTGCTAGTTCCTGGGTCCATGGAAGAAGAAAGCTTGTGTTTCTATTATAACGCATATCATCYGGTCCCCAAGTTATTTACATGCCTTTGCGCTCCATGAAATCATTGTGTTTTTAAAAAGATTCTGGCAAACAGCAGGTATTCAAGAAACATTTGCTGAAAGAGCACATGGATGACTCACTCATCCTTGCTTCCCTAAAATCTGGCACAGGGCTCAAAATGTTTAAAGGATGAATTCTCTAGGCAGTAGGGAACAATCAAGCCCAAACTCCCTGGCATAGCATTTGAAGTTGCTCATGACCTGCTTCTTCTCCGCCCCCATCATACCTCAAGCTCCAGAAACAAACTAGGCCATCACAAACCTCCTTGTCAAATTCCTTCTCCCCTGAAATGGCTTCCTCTCTGCTCCTTTGACGAATTCCATATCACAAGCCACCTCTCTGCATGCAAGTGTCTTCTAACATCCCCTACTTGGGGAGACTAATCCTCTCCTTCATGTCACCATTCCACTCTGTGTATGCCTTGCAATTTTATAAACTTTCATACTCTATAGTAACTGTTTACACATCTGTCTCCTTATTTAAATTGTAGCCCCTTGWGAGCAGGACTTTGTTTTTGTATTCCTAGTCACTATTTCAAAGCCTGACATAATGGAAATGTTTCATAAATATTTACAAAATAAGTGGATGACTGTTGCCAACCTAAGTAGGTATGACCAATTCAMAGGTAAGCATACATTTTCTTTTGGTTACTTCAATGAGGAATGAGATGAAATCTCTTTGTTTTCAAGTCAGCTGTTTGTCTTCTGCATTTTTTTTTTTAAACCACTCTACACCTGATAAGGCAAGAGTTGCAGAGGTAGGAAAGAGCCAGTAAGTAGTATCCAGCTTTGACCTTTCTCTTAGGGGTCTTTTGAACTTTCAACTTCAACAACAATGCTGGGTCATGCAAATGGATTATCCTTTGTGGCTGTCTGTCTTTGCCAATCTCAAAGTGATCAACAGTAAGTGCATTTTGGATAAACACCACAAGCTAGGAGAAGAKACTACCATCATGCAAAACATTTTGTGGATTTTGCATCATTAGTGAAATAACAACCACCACCTCACTTCTGTTGCTTCCATTATCACAATAGTAAAGGGAGATTGGAAGGGAACTCATTATTTTTTATGAAAAAGACTGAGAATCAAACCACAGGTGTTACTACTACATACCCATCACAAGGGCTAGCACAGAAAGACCAATAGTGTTAAGTGTTGGCCAGGGGACTGGACAACCGGAAGTCTCCTTCCCCGCTGGTGGGGGTGGAGAACTTTGGAGAACTATGTGGCAGTTATGTGTCAAGGTTGAACCTGCAACCCATCAATTCTGCTCTTAAGCACAGACCAGCAAAGATGGCCACTGAAATTYTCTGAGCCTCACTTTCCTAACTGGTAAATAGCAGAATTCAGATTAGAAAATCTTGACCACCCATAATTGTTTGAAAATGACTTTAGGCCCAATATGTTGTGTACTATCTCTTCAAAATCCACTCATTCCTCTTTTAAAACTTGAGTTTTCATTTAAATGGTAATGCTGAATGATTTTCCAATGTGTGGAAATAGGATTATTATTAAGATGTATTTTTACACACAAATCAAAACATAACTATCTAGATATGAAGATCTAAAGGGCAAAGGCAGTACTTCCCACTGTCTTTGCTTATGATTTAAAATTTTTTCTAGTGCTCACTTACAACCCTATTTGTTACTCAATAAGTTTCAGATAATATTTCAAAACACAATGGGAACTTTAGCCAATAATTGTCCACATTTAATGAGTATAGAGTCTTGATTGGAAATCATAAGGGACCCGATTAGATAACTGTGTTTGCCTGCCTTTATCTTTTGGGATGGTTTTGTTTTAGCCTCAAACAAAACTGCCCTACATCACTTTGGTTGCAATTACCTGGACAGAACCATAAAGGTGAATGGTAAAATGAATCACATATTTTGAAGATAAGGCAAAACTGGAATAATGCAATCTTAGAGTTAGAAAAGTGTTATATGTTCACATGATAAAGTTAATAGGTAATGACAGGGTAATGATTTGCCTGAGGCAATGGAGCTGGGTCAAAACCCAAGTCTACTGACTCCCAGTTTAAGTTTCTTTCTCTTCACAAATAAGTGAAGCAGGACCTTGACACAATGTGTTGATGTTCATTTCTTCATTTTAAGGTATTTGACTTGACAGGATTTGACTTGGCTGTCCTTGAATCAAGTCTGCCTTCTAAGCTGAGCACTCCGCCTATGTTGAGTTAACAAAGATCTCTGAACAGTAGCATAAAAACACAATTTGTGAGAAAATATACTATAGATATACAAAAATTACACTGCTTCAAAATCTCAATAAAACAAAGTAGTCTGAGAGAGTGTGTGTGTGTGTRTGTGTCTGTGTGTGTGTGTTGGGGGGTGTACCTGTGCATCACAAAACTGCTGGAAGACAAAATGAGATAGACTCTTATAACTGTTGCCTTCTTGAATTACTAATTTGGAAAATGCCAACTTTCATTTCTTCATTTTAAGGTAATAATAGTAGGCTGGCTATGCAAAGATTCAGAAAATCCTAAACAGCAGCTAACCAAAGGGTGGCRTTTATATATGACTCTATGATTGGCATAAATGTGTACCTGGCTATGTTTCTGCTGTCCTAGGCCCCGCAGTTTTGAAACACAGGGTTAAAAGATGCCAGTGAGCAAAAGATTCAAGAAGAACCCATGAGCTCTGATCAAACAACTTGTTCTCTCCCTCAAACTTTTATGACCAAAGCCTGTTGTACACTAAAGGCACCACAATGAGCTGCAGTTATTTGCTCAACTTTTCTGTGCTGTGGTCTTTTGATGAGATCCTTAAATGCTGAAAAGGACACACTTCTGACGTGCCCACGTGTGAATTCTTGTTTTCCATCTACAGCATGCTCTGTTAAAGCAAACAAAACTGCCCTACACCACTTTGGTTGCAATTACCTGGACAGAACCATAAAGGTGAATGGTAAATTGTAAATGCACAGAAACAGCAGCTGTTTGACCTGTGATTCTGAGAGAGTCTTTTAAAACCAGAATCTGTGGACTCAGCAAAAACCCGGGAGTTCTGAGCACCTGGCTTCTCAAAAAACTGGGACTTGGAATGAAAGTTGAGTTCTGGAAGTATCTTTATTTTTTGTCTAAGTATCCTGTCCAAATGATATTTACAGATCAGGGTTCATGGCAACACCATGGATCTAAGAAAAGTTCAGTATTTGATTTTCAGACTGGCCAGGTATCAAATGAACTCTGCTTTTCCTGAGAAGGTTGGTGTATCACGTTCCAGAGAGAGGCGGAGTCTGGCCTGGGACCAGGAAAAAAAAAAACAACACTCAAGTTTCCTAGAGCATTCGTTCCCCGTCCTATGAGATGCAAGGACCCATCAGAAAGAATGATGAAAGAGAAATGAATAAGGAAGACCAAGAACTGATAAGAGAGTAAAAAAGGTGCATTCTTTTTCCTGATTTAATCATTTAATCAGAAGTTGGCCACAGAGAGTAGAACATATAATTGTGACAGAAGTAAAAACTATYATTTACTCTGCAACCCCCAAAGTCACCCTGTCCCACTTCCTCAGTGCCAAACATCTTACCCATAAATATATGTATACATGTCTGTCTGTGTGTCTCTCTGTAATTCATTTAATTTCCATGACAACCCATAACAGACATCTACTCTATAAACACAGCACTGCGGGCCAAAGAGGTTACCCAAGTCGCCTAATGTCACAGAGTTAGTCTCAGTTGGGGCGGTTCTGAATCCAGATCTGTGACTCTAAGATTCACAGTGGCTGGGCGAGGCCTTCATCYAGGTGGAATGCATCTGCCCAGCTCTGAGCAACAAATACAGCAGCACACAAACCAGTGAACTGGCAGCAAAGTTAAGAYAGTCCAGAAGGCAGCTGTGAGCTCTTGGGAGCCTCAAGCAAGGAAGCCCTTGAAGAARCCTAGCAATGTCATAACCGGGATCCACACAAGGAAAAGAAAAAACATTAAAGGAAGAAAACACACAGTATCACCAAAGCCTGCCTGTTGGCCACAAGGACATCTACACTTACGGTCTAAGGTCATGGTGGAAAAGGGGTTCTTCTCTGTCCATAGAAGTGTTCAGTTCTACCTATACAAATTCTGAATACTCCACTTGAAAAGAAGAAAGTTGCACAATATATTTGAGCTCCAGAGCACTTACTGTTTGGTTCAATGCCTTTACAAAACTTGGGGGAAAAAAAAACTTGGCTGAAGCACGAACGTTATCCCAGGGTACTGGTATTTTTCCACTGCAGGGACAGGCCAGCAAAATCAATCATCATCAGCGCCAGCAATTTTTTTTTTTTAAATTTAAACCTGATATATTCAAAACCAAAATGCAGTGGAAAATGTATTCTGCAGCTAGTCACGGGCTCATGCTGTGTTTCAGGTCTCACATTAGCTGCTGAAGATTAGGTTCATCACTAGGTGAACAAGGCCTAGAATCCCTGCCCTCACCCATGTGGAGACTYGTAGCTAGGGGTGTAGCTCAGTGGTAGAGCATTTGTTTAGCTTGTGCAAAAGCCTGGGTTCAATTCCAAGAATTGGGGTTGGGGGGGAAGTTTAGGAAATCATTCTGGAAACGCTTTTATTTTTTATTTGGCAGCGCTGGGGATTAAACCCAGGGCCATGGGCATGTGAGGCAAATACTCTACCACTGAGCTACATCCCCAGCCCTGGACGCTTCTTTATTTAAAAGACTTAAGAATATATTTTAGATGAAACAACTCTATCCATTATCTAGTCGTGACTGAAACTAGGCTTTTTGGTTATATAAAAATCCATCTTTGAACCTAAGTTTCATAATTCCTTATATCTGCTTTTAAGAATTTGTTTTGTCGAATTTTAAATAACACTGAAAACAGAAAGAATGTTGCTAAGAGTAACCGACAAAAACAATGTCTGATTATATGTTCCTCAAGGAAGACGGCAGAAGCCTATCATGGTGCTGTCCCCCCACAGCTAGCAACTAACATTCAGCAAACACTTGCTGATAAACAAAACCACCTCAAATGCTTCCTGTTGTTATGAAAACACAAAGCCATATTTTGGATGCCTCACAATTTGGTTGTGAACACAGCTGAAAGTCCTCAAAAACAAGCACTGGTTGCACTTGCACTGCAGCTGGATGAGTAAGCTTAGAGAAAATGGTAGTTTATGGGGACAGACCTGGGACAGGGATGTCTCCTTCCACCTGGGCTATATGCCTCCTCTGTGCTATCTCTGCCCCTGCATCCCTCTGCTCCATCTTTTCCCTCCTCAAATAGGGACACCGGTGACTTCATTTTTGCTACTTGCTAACTTTCCTTGGAATTTAAGTTCAGCATCGACTAGATAACAGAGTTCTCTTTACTGACTGAGCCTTCAAAAAGTTGTGATATGGTGTAAGTATGTAGTAAACCTCCTTTACAAGTGAAGAGAGCAAACCATAGGGAACTCCATTTACAAGATACCGAACACAGAAAATCTGGTCCCAAAGTCAGACCATTGACCCCCATCAGAAAATGCAGCGTCTCACATACCGGCCTTCCGTGAATGCTTTCATAATACAGGAGCGCCTTCTGCAGAGCCACTTTCTCATTAGCAATCTGGTCTTTGGTCATATCCTGAATAAACACAGGGATAAGAAATGAAAAGGGGAAAACACCTGTGAACATTCCAACTTCTTTATTTAAACAAACCTCCTAAAGGAGGGTTAAAAATAATCCTCGTCCAACAGTTCTCCCTGGCTCTGTCCAAAGCTCACTTAGGAATGAGCTAATCCTGACCACTAGCCAGCAACACAGACAACACAACAGAACCGTCATTAACTACCTGGGGCTCCCATGTGGCAGCAAAGGCATGTGGAGCACTGAGGAGAGCAGGAATATGAGGCACATGGGGCCTAGCTGAATGGCCCCTGCAATGACTACAGCAGGTTACCTAGTCCTGAAGGTTGAGTCTAAAATCTTTCCACCTCAGATAATCATAAACTCTTAACTTCAGCAAGGTCATTCTGCAATACATGTAACAGAGCTGTCTGCTTGCAACCTGTGGTCAAAAACCAAAGTGCCCACAGGTGAAACACGCAGTTGTTTCCTCTGCTTTCTAGATACATGGTCGGTTTACAGACCATCACCTTCCACAGGGATTCATGTGACACCCTGCATCTCTACCCAGCTGGTGACAACGGCATCAGCAACTGGCTGGGGACCTCCACACCTTAATGTCCTCAGGACGACTGGTCTCTGCCCTCTTCTCCTGGAGCTTCCTCTGGATGGACTCCAGGGTGGCTTCAACGCTGGGCTTGATGGCTTTGTCTACCAGCTCCTGCTTCTTCTCGTCGTCTTTTTCAAGCTGGGAACCAAAACTCTTGGGAAGTGTGTTGCTTCGCTGCCTCACCCTGGGCGTTARGTCCTCTTCAGATATCTTTAGTTTTGATTCTGAGTGAGAAGATTTGGGGAAGAGACAGAGATGAGAACTGAGCCCTGCTGAATCCAAATTGTTTTTCTGTGATGTCACTAACTGCTTAGCCATGGCTTTTTTTTTTCCCCCCCTTCAGGGAGTATCTAATTATAATATCACTGAAAATCCCTGAGTCATTATGTAAAACCCAAAATAATGATAATGTCTTCCTGGATTATCTGGAATATTTCCCAAACCCTAATTCCTGAGAAAGCTTTAGCTCTGTAACACCCAAGCTTTAGCTACACCAGCCTATTAGCCGTTCTCAGACTGGGCCAGATGTTTTCCCAGACCTGTTCCCTGAGCACCTAAAGAGTCGAAGGGCTCTAACACCCACTAGCTGGCCACTTGACTTGTATACCTCATTTTGAAATCATTTCACTTTGCACGGTAGTTGTTTATATGACTGTCTCCTAAATGACAGCAAGCTTTTGGAGGGAAAGGGGCCAAACCCTTTTTAGATTCATCTCTGTGTCTACTTCTCCCAACACCACAGCAGAYGAAGTCTCATATTAAACAGATGTTTAAGAAGTATTGACTTGAAACCATTGTCCTTCTACTAGTGATCTGGGGGAAATAAGTGCAGAAATGCTGCAGAATTTATGTCTTAGCTGGTCTGGTTGCCCTGTGATTGAAGTCATGGAAATGACCCCGAAGAACTGGGAGCACCGGAGAGTGTCTTCGGGACCTGGGAATACCTTAGCAGTGGCACTCATAGGACCTGAGCTGATGGATTTGGTCCCGGCTTCTTGTATGGAAGCTATACTACAGGTCCAGGACTTCACCTACCCTTAAGTTGCTTCCGGAATTTGGCAAGGTCATTTGTCCACTTCAGAACCTCTGGATTGGCTGCTTTGTCACTGTGGGAAGGCTGAAAAAAAGGAAGTCTAGAGTCAATGATTCAGAACTAAGGCAGGGAAAAGCTGTCAAATTTGATAATCTTTCTTACTAACTAGGAAGGCAAAGTTGAGTGTCATAGAATAAGCAATCAACCACAATTCATCAGAGCAAATTCACAAATGTAATTCCATCCTCCACCTAGCTGGTTAATTTTGATGCTTTCAATTCCCCAGGGGTTAAAAACCTGGATCATTATAATCAGGCACTCGTGTGGTGTTTGACCCCTTTTCTGTCATTTGTAGGGCTCAATTTGCCAGGGGCAGAAAACAGAGACGTCTGACGGTCACACCATTTGCTAAGGATAGTGCAGAGAACAATGAGCTCAGTACTAATGAAATTTCGGAAAATAATCTTGAATTCAATTTTAGCCAAACAGAAGATTTCATTCAATACTTTCCCCCATTCTAGATCACTGACAAATTTACAAGTAGACTTATGCTTGTGCAATAAAAGTGGTGACACCTGGTGACCAGAGCTTAACAGGGTTCATTACTCAGTGTTTATTGTCCTTTTGAGATTCCCTAGGAATTAACTCTCACTTCCTGGGGAGAAGTAGGGGCAGAGGAGCCTGTGGGGCACTCACTCTGTACTTCCTCTCTTCTTCAAATCTGTCCTCAAACTTTCGGATCTTCTTTTTCAGGCTCTGAATCCTTCGTGTGAGCTGGGCGGGTGTCAGGTCCTCTTGCTCATCATCATAGGAACCCAGAGAYGAGCTTCGCCGCCTACCCATAGAGGCAAGACTTGGATCAACTCCCTGAGCAGTCACCGACTGCTGGGAGGGGCCTTGAATGTGGGGTGCCGTGTGGCACAGAGGAGAAGAACCAAAACCACCCCCATGCTCTTGACTGAAAGGAAATGAACCGATTCATTTTGTGGCTGAGCTCTGCATGTCTCACTTATCATGGGGGTCTTTCTCTTACATTTATGATTAGCAAAGTTAGAATGAAATGTTTTCTGCAGGCCTGAAAGTTAAATTTGAGAGTGCTTTGAAAATGAAGTGCTAATGGAAATTCAGTGTGTGATGCTACAGTTGGGTTACAGTTCAACTGGGAAACTACTGGATAGCTTGCGGACTAGGGTGGAGAACTTCAGATTTGTTCTTCCATAGACATACATGTTAATTTTTTTTTTTGGGGGGTACAGGATGTTGAACCCAGGGATGCTTATCTACTGAGCCACCCCTGCAGCCATTTTTAAATTTTTGCTTTTGAGAAGGGTCTCACTAAGTTGCTAAGGGTCTCGCTAAGTTGCTGAGGCTGGCCCCAAATTTGGTGCATATCACCAYGCCTGGCTCACTGCTTAATTTAAAAAAAAACTTGTCAGCCATCAGCACCATGCTTATCTTTTTTAATATTGTGGGGATGATACATCTGCTCATCAGCAACAGAGAATCACCTACCTCATGAAAGAATGGGAATTCGGGGGAGAAGGAGGCACTTCTGTGTCATCCAGGTATTGGCGACTCTGCCCATAAGCATAGAACCGAGGAGAGAGCATGGGGTCACTGTCCTCATCCAGAAGCTGGCGAATCAGGCGCCCCGCCTGCGGGGAGAGGCGAGCTTCGTCAGAGTCCACGTTCTCTCGCTGCCAGGATGAGAAAGTAGGGATGGGTTCTGAAAAAAAAWAATAATAATAATATTGGTGAGAGGTTAACAGCTTTCTTAAAAGCATGGTTATTTCCCAAATTTCCTGAAAGTTTTAGGAAGCTGACCACTGAAGGGGTTCTCATTTCAGATCCAAGGTCCAGAGTAGGACACTATGTCCAACCCAAATCACTACTGTATTTGACAGCCATCATCTGCGTTTTATCTCCACTCTGACTTGCCTTCATAAAAAGAGTTTRCTAGGGCAACCCTGAGGAACAGCTTTGAAGGAGCAGAGCCGATGGGTGGTCCCCAGCTTCACTAGCAGGGCAGCCATGACCACTTTTCCGTGGGAGAGCATTAGTGAAAACAAGCAAGTGTGCCAGGGAGGGAGGCATCTGGCACCACGGGTTCCGTCCTTCATGACTCTGTAAGAGCCTACTTATGGAGGGGTTGACAGCTTCCATTGAGGTCATTTGGCAAACTGTGTTGTGTGCTTCTGCTTAGTGTGTGGGATTAGCATGTTTGTGCTGTGTGCCTTGCAGTCGGAACTTAGGAGCTGCTCAAGACTAGGAAGAGGGAGAAGCACAGGTAAGTTAGTCAAAAGAAGAAAAAAGAATGCCTCATAGAGAACAAACAAGTTATTTTTAGACAATCTGTAAGAAAAAAAAAACAACATACTCAGCACAAAAGCGAGTTTGGAGGAGGTGAGGGAGGTTACTTAGTTTCATTTAATGTAAGACCCATCTCAATATATTCTTTTCTTTATTAAAAAATCATATCTAAAATAATTTAAAATAGGTTTAGGTGATATGGAGTATTTCATTTGTAATACTTTACCTTAAAAAAAACCCAGTTATGGCTTAAATTCACTTGTGGATTAGTGATACACCTAAAGCTGTAATTCGCCCAGGATCTTAAAAATCAGGATACCKAGAGTTTGAGTCATGAACAGTTAGTAGCTCCTCCAGCCATGAAACTGTACATGTATAAAATGGTCTGGAGTGCATATTCAGCTTTTTATCTAGAACATTAGAGCTGGTGTAACTTCATTCATAATCCAATCTTGTGATCTTCTCATCCCTGCTGCACATTAGAGTCACATGGCAAAACTTAAGTAACCACACACACGTGAGTCCTCATACCACCCAACCCATATAATAGCCGGATGGACACAATGCCCAACCAAATACGACTGAATGACTGACAGACAGCCTTATACACATGTAAAAGCTGTCTGAGCGATGTTAATGTGGGCCAGAGTTGAGAACCCCTGATCCAATGCAGATTACAGATACAGAATCCAAAAACCAAAGGAATTTAGAGCAAAAACCTAATCAACAACAAGAGTTAGGCCCAGAAACTAAGTCTCCTGACTTCCAGATCAGTGTCTTCATTTTGAATGCTCCAGTGCCTCAGTTACAGAGCTGACTGCCTGAAATGTTTGAAGAGTTGACAATGTAATAAGAAAAAAAAAAAAAAGCACAAGTTAAAAACAAAAAGCAAACCTCATATGAAATGAGGGCTACAGATTCTCCAAATTTAAAGGGACCCAAGTTATCTGCAAACACAAGTATTTCAAAAGATGAAAACAGCATTGAAGACAATGATTCTTACCCACTGAGACTTAAAAAATGAAGAATGTTTGTGGATGCACTTGGCTGAGGCTGAGACTATGGGAGGAGGCTATCATTTGTACGAAACTCTGTCATCAGGCTGCTCCTGCTGAGTAGCAGGGCTCAGATATGAGCAGCTCGCTTAGATCTGCCACCATAAAGGGATGGAAAAAAAAAAAAAAAAACACCAAACGGTCTGGAGGTGTAGTATTGGAAAATAATCCGAAGGAAAATAAAAATTTCATGTGAAGTTGCAGAAAATTAAGCTGTTAAACTGACCAGATTACATCTTCTATTAAATAAGACAGCAGAAATTTTAAGTTCTAAAATGAACAGAGCCAGGAGGAGAAAGGGTTAAGATGGCTTTAATAGCAGTGAAGCCAGCAATAACCTAACCTCACCACAGAGTGGCAAGGGAGCAAAACAACTGGGGGAAGGGCAAGAAGCCCTTTGGCTTTGGCAAAACAGTCTAATGTTGATATTGGCATATGGCTATGCTATTAGTTTATTTCTACTCATCAAAAAACAAAAACCAAAACAAAACAAAAAGATCAGTTTGAAAGGCATTACTTAGATCCTAAAGCCCTTTAATTTCTTTGAATCTAGCAGAATTTCTCTTTTAAAATATTAMCACCAATTTTTAAGCTTTTAACAATGTGGTCCCTGGCTACAAATCATTTTGCAAAAAGTGTGCCCATTAACCAAACATGTTAATATAAATTGTGATCTTGAATTCACTATGAAGTAGTACTCACAGAATCAAATCATGATTGATGCTTGGTGGCTAAAACAGGGCCATCTACCCCTTCTTGTCTGTTAACGCAGCTTTATTTTGTCACTCTATTCTCAACCAATCACTTCAGTGATAGAAAGAACAAATGTGTCCTTTTCCTATTGTCACCACTGGTATATAGGAAATACACAGTTGAAAAAATTCCAGCCCATTGTGTTTAAAGCACATTGGGGCAAATGAATTCACTAAGCATTGTGAATTTTGACTTTAAAAAAATAGGAATATTTCATCATTAGTCTGCATATAGAGACATGAAAATCCCACCTATACAACATGAAATTCTTTTATGTTTTCTGTTTTTTTTCTCCCTTTTCAGTTATCCCTTACAGTCTAATAATTTAAGGATCCTATTCAAGAAAGTTGTGAAATGACAATACACAGTTCAATATAACTAAAGAATTAATAAAACCAACTATTTCTATAGTTTAGTTCAAAATGATATAAGAACAAAGGTATTTCATGTTTTGATAATTGGTACTAATTGGAAAAACAAGCAAGATATAAATAAGAAAAGTGGGTACATAAAATGTCCAACTGCATTACCTGTTTGGAAAACCAGTTTTGAGGATGTATTCACTGCCCATTCCCAATGGCTATTTTGAGAAATATTTTCTATTTTTAACCAGTAACTCTAGAGCAATGAAACAGACAAGGATATTGCAAGGGAATTATTCAAAGGAAAACCAGAAAAGATTTGAGGCTTCTAATTGGATTTTCATCCCAAGGCACTACTTAAAATAAGAGCATTTTCATATCAAGACCAGAATTCCTTGGATATAGTGATTTTGTTTTTAGTCATGTGTTTTTTCACAATGAACTCTGKACATATGACATGTTTCTCTATTAAAAATTAATCTACCCAGGTCAGCTGACATGATAAGCATGCTGGTCAGAAATAATGGAGACAAAAGTTGTATTCCTGCTATATAAGTAATAAGGAATATATCCTGGGGAGTTCCAATATTGATATATATATAGTACACATGGAAATGAAGGAAATTCATGGCAGGGGGAATGGACACCCTGTGTGGTGCTCATGTGTTCACTTTGCTTAGCTGGATGGGTCCATTTACTATACAAAAGAAACAGGCTACTGAGATGATTTATTTCTAAGAAATCTGCACAGAATTAGGGAAGCCAGTGTTTTCCACATTTCATTTCCAACTATGTCATTTAGAGCCATAACTTTGCTTGGCATGATGTCTTTTTTCTCAGTGGTGTTAGAAGGAACCTGCATATTCCACCCAGAGAGATGTAGGCCCTACTGGGGAAGCTCTTTACTGAGGGAAGAATTTTATACAATTTTCCTTGGTGGTTTCAAAATGCAATTTTAGAATAATGGTTGTCCTGTTAAATTATTTAAATAATCTTGCAAATTACAAGATTTAGGATGAAACTTAAGCAGCTGGTTTTATCAATCACATATTTAATCCTTAAATTTCATGTATTTGCTTTGCCTCACTGTAAAAATAGTAAATCATTACTGAATGCCTGGAATAGGAGAGGGCTRAAGACTTAACCTAATGAGAATATACCCATTGGAGTTGACTTTGATCCATGTGTCTGCACATTACATTCAGTTGCTTAATCAGTYACTAATTCACTACCCCACCTGTCTTTATTCTGTGCACATCTTTAACAAAGCTACGGCCAAGGCCCTGTCAGAGGCCCAGCTGGAGAAATCCAGCATTTCCCAGTCTAGACTCCAGAAGATTGGAGTGATATTGTTAGTCCTTAGCAAATCCATGGAGGGTCTCATACTTACTAGATCACTCTATGGTCAGGGCCATCCATGGTCATTGGGTGGAACTGGGCTCTTTTTTTCAAAGAAAGCAAACTTAGGCTAATTTTTTTTTCCCTCAAAATATCCTTAACGATATTTATGGAAGATAGTAACAATTAACATTCACACAGCACCCACACCATGCTGAGTACTTTGCATATTTAGCTCATATAATCCTTGTGACAAATTTACTAATTAGATGTTACTGTATCTATTATTCATCAGTATCTGCTGTTGTTACCTATTTAAAAATTAGAAATTAAGGCAAAGTGAAGATAGGTTTGTTAACTTGCCCACAGAGTTGGTTAAATGGCAGAATCCAGATTTAAACCCAGGAGTCTGGCTTGTCACCACCTGATTTTCTGCCCGTCATGACACTTGACTAGCATACTTAGAAAAAGGCATCAGGAGACTGTATCACTTTGAATCCTCACTTTGTTTGGGGCCAGTTTTCTTATCTGTGTGATGGGAGGGTTCACTAGGGAAATCTTTTTTTTTTTTTGAAATTTATATATGACAGCAGAATGCATTACAATTCTTAGCACACACAGAGAGCACAATTTTCCATATCTCTGGTTGATACAAAGTATATTCACACCAGTTCGTGTCTTTATTCATGAACTTTGGATAGTAATGTCCACCACATTCCACCATCATTTCTAACCCCATACCCTTGGGAAATCTTTTAAGATCCTTTGTTTCTCCATGATTTTTTAAGAGAATTTTCTTTTCCAAAGTTATTGTCTCCAAGCAGTAAATTACTAGTAAGATATATGAAGTATTTTATGTTCTTTAAAAATTACCCTTATAAACTTAATTTTGCCAGGACAAATTCAATAAAATGGCTGAGTTCACCTCAGTACTTTAACAAATGGAACCCCAAATCAACAGCCCCAAGAATTGCTGCCAGAGGACATTCTAATTAAGCAATTCTGAGGGCTTTCAAAAATACAGAATAGTACATTTGATTTATATGTTTATTTAACTTTGTAGAAGCCCTAATAATAATAATGTGGTCAGAGATCAAATAATGTGCCCCAAAACATAGTTACATACAGTGAAAAAATAAAAAGCTTGGTTATCTGCCAACAAGTATGATTAGACCCATCCTACGTTCATTTTTTAAGGGTTGCACTCTCCATTACCTATGGGATTCATTCCTCTTTTCGTTTCCACGATACTAAGCTTCAGAAACCAGAGAGCATCATTTCCACTTGGGAGCACATAACACAGGGCTCACCCCAGCAGGCTGCTCACTCAGTACTGCCTCTCAGAGAGTCCCCATTTCCAGAGTATCAACTATGGCATGGGGATAGGGGACAAGCAAGCAAACCCAAAGGAGAGGTTACTCCACACGGTGGCTTTAGGAAGGCCCTGGATGGAGGTTTACAGATGGATAGTGATTCAAATGTTTTGGGTAATTATTACTTTCACTGATATACTTTCTTGCACAGCTTAAATTGATGCCAAATTCCATCCTCACTGGAAAGCCACCATTTGTTTCTTATTGAAGCTGTAACAAAAGTGATATTTCAACAATGAAATTTGTTGTTCTCATTTTATCTACCTTTACGCAGAAATTCCAATATTTTAACTATACTTATGGTTATGTCCCCATCATAATGCAACTTGGAAAGTTGGAATAAATATACAATTTTAAAAAGTTCATTGAGGGTAGAAACCAAATGATCAAAATGGCCTTGTGGCTCAGTGGTAGAGCGCTTGCCTAGCATGTGTGAGCACTGGGTTCGATCCTCAGCACCACATAAAAATAAAGATATGTGTGTCCACCTACAACTAAAAAAAATGGCCTTGAAATAAATCCATGTGGATTTTTTTTTGTTTTGAGAGAGAGAGAGAGAGAGAGAGGGAATTTTTAAAATATTTACTTTTTAGTTTTCGGCGGACACAACATCTTTGTATGTGGTGCTGAGGATCCAACTGGGCTGCACGCATGCCAGGAGAGCATGCTACCGCTTGAGCCACATCCCCAGCCCTCCATGTGGATTTTTGAAGATATACAAGTTCAACAATAAATGCAATGACTGGCAAAAAAAAAAAAAAAAAAAAAAAAAAAAAAAAAAAAAAANAAAAAAAAAAAAAAGAAAGAAAAAGTCATAGAAAGCTATTTCACAAATTACATGGATAACACAATTCATTTTCCTAAGCCCATTTGGAATAGAATGTATTTTTTCCAATGGCTTTCAAAAAATTCTATCAAAAGTTCCAAAATAAAGTGTTGGTTTCTTCACATTATTATTTACCAGCAAAAAATTTCTTTACATTATGAAAAGTTTTAAGAAAAYTATAAATGGCTTTCAACCACTCTTTGAGAGAATTTTTAGCTTTACATTAGCCCCTTTAAGTGTGCCAGAGATTTATAATCTCTCAAGATAACAATAATCAAACTGAGTCCATTTCAGGAGGAGGAGTAGGGGGAAAGGTGACTAATTTGATTTCTGACCTCAAATCCTAGTTTTTATCTAGAGTTTTATGTCAGACCATATCCCTAAAACCCAAACAGCCTTGATTTTTATTATTGCTTTTTTCTTTTATTTGGGCAACAGTGACTACTATGAGACTCTTGGGGGTGGGGAAGAGCAGGTTGTTTTCAATGCATGAATTAAAAACGTGATTATTTGAAAGTAAAGGAAAATGAAACAAAACCAGTACCCCAGAAAYATATCACTCAAAACAACCATGCATTTCTTTTCCCCCTTAGTGAGTGTACTGTGAGTTGGAAAGAGTGCAGAAATCTCAGATTGACGACCTCATTATATGGCAAGAACTAGAACAGGTTTCTTAGATTACAAGAAAGAGAATTAGAATAAAGACAGTCTGCCTGTTCTCAGGACAGCCCTGGCTGCCAGGAGCATAACTGGGCTCCTCTTTTCACCAGTGGTCTTTTCCATCGCCCTTTGATCCTGCATCTCAGGTAATAAGCAGAACTTTTTGGTTAAAAAAAAGGAGGAGGGGGTAGGGAATGAAGAGGGGGAAATCTGGGTGCTGAAAAGGACTGATTTTCCTAGTTGTGGTTCTCTGCTAAGTCATGCCTCTGTGCTGAAACCAGCAGCACGATCCTCCCAGGTCCTTCCTTCCCACACAGAGTACAGAGGCGGACTGGCATGTATTTTGTACACACATCGATACATGTTTAGATGAAGACACAGGGATTGTGAAAGCAGCAGGAGCAGCAGCTTGAGGAAAATGCTGCAGTGTCCTCCCAGGCTACCCTTGTCTTCCTCAAAGTACATTTCTATTGTTTTCACCAAAAGTCTCCAGAAAAGCCAACCTAAAACACTTACAGGGTTTCAGTAAGAAGCACTTTTTATTTAGTGTTCTCTTTGATAAGCAAATCCAAGTTTGTTAACCTGCGTTTAAAAAAAAAAAAAAAGTGGACCCATAAAAACAACAACAAAAAAAGATCTTTCTTGAAAACCAGGAAGATTTAATGATAGTGGTAGCTGGCTGGAAAGTATTGTGGGAAGATGGGGCATACTCACAGAGATCTACAATGCACATTGCTGGGTACTACTGGGAGGAAAAGTCACACATATCTACTCCTGGTGAGTTAAAAAAAAATTAAAAGAAGATTGCAAGGTGACCCTGTGATAAAGGGCAAGTACATTTTCTTTCTTAGATTGCAATTATCTGGGGCAATGTTTAACCGGATATGTTCCTATACCAGGTAAAGGATTTTCAGTCAGAAATGCTGTTACTTTTCTGCATGCCTAGCTCTTGTGTTCTCTCTCTCTCTCTCTCACACACACACACACATACACACACACACACACACACACACAGTTACCAGCCTCTTACATATGCTTATTTATATATGCTTTTGTGATGTTAAATCATCCAAGTGCCAGTGATCACCTACCTTCCCAGTTCTTCTCATCACACAATGCCGTCAGGTCCAACTGGGGCACTTCTGAGACAAAGCTTTCTGGCTGGTCATCAGCATCTTGATTCCTCTGCTGTTTGGTATCAGGTATGCTGGGATGCTCCTGGATCTTCATTGTGGTGCTCTGCAAAAACAGCACAATGTCCCCAATAGCTACCGTTCAGCAAAACCCAAAAACGTTTGCAGTAATTCCACTCCTGGATGAGACCTCCCAAGCCACAGCTGCTAATGCATGCAGCATGGAAATGACAATCATAGCTTGATGCCCCCTGGATACTAGCTGGCCACTCTCATGCAAAAAGCAGCTGTCCATCTGCGCTCGCTCCTTTAACTTTTCTTAGTGAGAGAAACAAGATGATTTTCCACGGGCAGCTCGTCCTGATAACTGCAGGCAGCTGACACTCTGGATGATTGCTGATTGGGGCCAGGAATGAGGGAAAGGAGTTTGTGTTTCCTTAAAGGAGCATGGCTCTCCAGACTGTAAACAACAACAGCAAGCCACCGCTGTTGCTAAGGCTAAGGTGGGAGTAGCAACACTCGGTACCTTCTGCACACAGACTTCTTTGCCCCTTAGTAAATAGTCCTGCAAGGGCAGGAGAGAGGCTGGGGACATGAACACTCCCCTGCCGCCCACAGGCATAGCTCAATTAAGTGGGGCTAGCTGYATATTCCCAGATTTCCTGTGGCTGTTTTCTCATAGTATGGGGAGGAGAGACTATGTATGCAGGAGCTTGGTATTAAAGCATTATTGCACCATTCAAACAGCACAGGGGGTTGGCATCTTAGCTCAGCTAGCAGTAAGGAATACGAACTTTGGAAATGAGCCAAAATTACACAGGGAGCATAATTTTCTTTTTTTTTAAGTAAAATGCCAAGAGCTGGCAAGTCGGTGATGCATAATTTATATCTTACAAATATGGATCTGTCACTTGCTTTCCTGCTATTCATCTATTTTGAATACTAAAAACTCGGTTACAGTTGGTTTTGTTCATTGGCAGCACCTACACCAGGCAAGGACCCATCTGAGAGAAGGGAAAACCCTCCCGCAAAGGTTGATATTCAAGATCAGTGGTTTTGTGTTTTTAAAAAAGTAGCACTGAAGCTAATTCTGTTTCATTGAGATTCTCTTTCTATCTTGCTCTTCTGGCATAGTATAAACCAAGTCATTGTCACCATTCCTGCTCTCATAAAATTATAAACAAATATGTTAAGAGTAGTATTTACTCACAGAYGTATTTTTCAAGTAGCACAGATCTGCATAAACTATTTTCTTTGAGAGTAAATGGAAATTTATTTCGGCAAATACACTATCACTAGTTGAAAAAACGAAGAACATCTGGAAGTCATAAGTGAATTCATTAATGTAGGAGAAATGTTCCTACGCTTAAAATAAAGCACTATTTAAGACTTGCAGCTACTTTTAATAGCGATCCAACCCACTTTGAAATCATCGGGGGAATAGTCAGCGCTTTTACTATGATGTTTCCATCAAATGATGCATAAAGACGGGTATTCGCTTCACATTTTGGGATGAAATGAAACATCATCAACAAGGTCACGATGAGCTACTAAAATAGACAGAAATGCAAAATAAATCTGGAACTGTTACTTAACATGCTCTTTGCCTATTGAACCAAACAAAACAAAACACAGAATGCTTATGTCACAAAAATTATTTGTCTCTTGAGCTGAATCCTAAGTGGACCAGGGTTCAATGCTTGTATCTGGTGCTCAGATTTTTAAAAGTTAAGAGTTCGTCACTGCTGGGAGCGGTGGCGCATGCCTGTAATTCCAGCAGCTTGGGAGGCTGAGACAGGAGAATTGAGAGTTCAAAGCCAGCCTCGCAACTGTGAGGCACTAAGCATCTCAGTGAGACCCTGTCTCTAAATAAACTACAAAATAGGGYTGGGGATGTGGCTCAGTGGTCGAGTGGCTCCGAGTTCAATCCCTGGTACCAAAAAAAGAAAAAAAAAGTCAGTCACCAGCTGTGTTTGTGTGGGTGTGGGTGTGTGCATGCGCTCACTCATGCACACCCACACACAAAATATACATTCAGTAAAGAAATATCAACCAAGATTTGTAAGGTTTATTATATTCAGAGATATCAAAAAAAAGGGGAAAAGGACAAAACCCACAATTTTATTTTTAAATATGGTGTTTTCTGCACATGGAAGAAATACATCATATATTTAAATTGTCAAGCCATGGGAAGGACACCAGTATTGCTCACAGGTACACCTGGATTTGTAGCAAGGTTCTTTTTTTTTTTTTTTTTTTTTTTTTTTTTACTAGGGATTGAACCCAGGGGCACCTAATCACTGAGCCACATCCCCAGCCTTTTCATTTTTATTTTGAAACAGGGTCTGGCTAAGTTGCTGAGGCTGGTCTTGAACTTGCGATCCTCCTGTGTCAGCCCCCCCCCCCAGTCACTGGAATTACAGTGCACCACGGCGCCCCACTGTGGCAAGGTTCTATTAGTTGGGTTCTTGGGTGGGGTTGCGCCCCTGCACCGAGCCTCCATTTCCTAGTCTTTCCAATGGCATTAATGATAGTAATCTTGCAAATTCTTGTAAAAATTTAAGAGGAAGTAAGCAAGGTCTGGAGCACAAGATATACAAATGGAAGCCCTCCTTCTTTCTGTCATCATGTGGCACCATATGAAGATAAAAACTGCTAGCGAGGGGGTGGGGAAAGCACCTCCGACTGGACTGGAGGGGAAATGTGGTACAACAAAGGATGCAACAAAATTCTAAATGCATCACGAAAAATATCCGTGAGCAGAGCCACTGGTATTCTGCCAGGAATCAGCAGCAGCAATTTTGCTTAGAGGCAGAGAGGTGTGGTGGGCAGGCCTGTGGTGGAGCGTGCGTCATACAGAAGAAAGGAGCGCTTTACACTTATGTGGAAATACAYACACAACTTGCCCTGTCCTGCTGGGCTCTGATCCGCCCCTAAGGTTGCTCTTTCACTTGCCTGAAGCTCTTAGAAGCCCAAGTCTCAGTTTCTGSCCTTCCTAGTCACTGAACCCAAGATGGTGTCCTAGACACCATGCCGCAGCAGGTGGTTTCATGTACACATGGGGCAGGGATGCTACCCGCTGGCTCTCATGGAGAAGCTATGCATGCTCTGCAGCAGTGTCCCAGTGTCAACATCTCTCCCTTCAAAATGTGGCCTCCCTGTGGCACCTTGCCAGAGGGCCCACACTAAGAGCACCTATGGTAAGGACRGCAAATACTATCTGTTTCTCTAACTGGATCATTAAGGTCAACCTGTCCACAGAAGTCTCAAATACCAAAAATATTTTTGGTCTAAACTTTTTCTTGTGTTTACATGTCTAATATCTTCAGTTAAATCAGAGGAAAAACAACGTTTCACAATTTTCAACTCAGAGATCCTTAGGTGCCACACACCAAACCCTTGGCAAACACGCTATCCCATATGAAAATTCACAAAATGTCTGTGTCTGGAGATACATTGAGTATCTGACTCTGAGAGGAGACAATACGATAGGTAGGAAAGATTGGGTTTTGGAGGCAGAGACCTGGATTTAAACACTAGCTAGTGAAGCTTGACTAGCTTTGAGGCCTTCAGTGGGACAACCTCTTTGAATGTTAGCTTTTTCTTTAATACGAGAACAACCTTTCATAAGGTGGTTGTGAAGATTAGATGGAAAGTCTGTATAGACAGAGGGTCCATAGTAACTCTAAAAGAAAAGCTATTTTCATTTCTACTCCCCTTCCCTTCCCCTTTCACTCATTCATTGGCAAGTGCTTACTGAATACATACTGTGTCCTAGCCACCAGAATTTGAGAATGAACCAGTCACAGGATTTTGTGAGAAAGAGAGTTTGAATGTACAAGTGCTGGTGTCACACGTCATAAAAGTAAAACATGGTGTGCTGGAAAGCTGACCCCCAGTGCTCACCCTTACCTAGGGCCACAGGTGAACTTCACATTCAGGTCAAGGAGACATTAACTTTGAGTCTAACAGTCTAATCTTTGCCAAGACTTGTCCCTTTCTAGTTGGGCCTGACTTTTACGATCCCCAGACTTGACTGATCTTGCCATTTTCCTGGCTTGAAATAGTTCATGATTTATTGTTCCATTCCTTCTCCCTCCCTGCACAGGACAGTGATAAGTGACCTCAAAGTTTACCAGAGCCAGAATCGGCAACACCGAGAACATGCTGGACAATGCAGTTTGCACAGGAAAAAAAAAATAATAACCACAGTTATTAACTGAAGAACCACAGAGAACCATAAACATTTATTGTTTGGCCTGACAATAAAGGAAAATGGACATAAYAAATTTCCAAAATTCATGTGAACTGCAAAGTGTCAATAGCCTTTGGTGACTATGGATGGGGGATATTTCAGAAATCTGCCTTCTCAGGGCAAATAAAAGCTTACACTTGAGATCTTGTGATGACTAATTTAATTCTGGCTGAACTGGAAAGTCTCCATTTCTCCCGTTCTCTCTCCCCTTTCTCCTTTTCTTTTTTTTTAAGCAGGATAAGAAAAATGGAAATAGTCTTTTGTTTATGATGAATGTCTSGTTTGTTATCAAGGGCATGCTTCTAAGCTCTCTTAAGCAGTGGGCTTAGAAAGCACAAAGAATGTAAAAATACCTTGAAGGAATTTAACACTTCGTTGACCTTATAATTCTGACATAAAGTGATCTCTCTCAGATAATGTAATATCCTCCCATATCGCTAATCATTCTTACTTGTTTTGCTTCCTTGACAAAGAGACTCATTGTAAGGTTATTAGTGAATATTCGGGATTTTATATGAAGCATATAATACTTTCGAAATAAAAAATAACATCAGAAGAAATTGAAGCACCAGGTCAAGTGTGCTTCCACTGTAAGCAGAGCTCTCTCTGTATTTTCAGTGATATCTTCTAGAATCTAGACAAGGCTCTTGATGCTTAAAGCTGTGAAAGGGGTTCAAAAACAAAAGAACAAATACTCTAGACTCCACATGCCCAGAGAACAGTGTGCTGAGCTCTTTCTTGTGTTACCTCATTCCATATGGCCCATATGACATTTGATTAAACATCAGCCTTTCTAAAACCTATCTGAAGAAGCCATACTTTCATTTGGGGGCATTTTTGAAAAGATTCTAAATTTTTTTCACTACAGGGTGTCACTAAACAAATTTCGATCCAAATCGCCACATAAGAAGTAGAAATGTTTTAAGAAAGTTCTCCTGGAACTCTGTTCAATACCTACCTTGTTTACTTAATATGTTCTTACATCTACTCCCAGACACCCACTTCCAGATACATCCCCAGCCYTGTTCTTAACAATTCTTTTTAGAAGGGGGAAAGTCCCCAAAGGTATGTTCCTTATATTGGAAAAATTAAAGTCATATATATAGATAGGTGGGCGACGCTCAATATACCCATCTGAGATCTCAACAGATCTTTTGTTTTGGGATAGATTACTTACATAATTAAAAGAAATGAAAAAGACAAGTAATAAGTGGTTAAGTGTACATTCAATTTCAACATATGCCTTCAGATATACTGGATGGCTGCAAATTGATTATTTAAAAAAAAATAAAGTCACGTCACCCTCGTGCCTGCCTTTGAGAAGCAGACCCTCAATGGGTCTGGCGGCTGCCTGTCCTCATTCTAAATATTGGTTAAAAAAAAAAAAAGAAATCAAAATCCCCCTTTCCCTCAATACCTTGCCATCTTAGATGAATCTGAGAGTTTACAAGAAGAATTTTAAAGGACCATATTAATGAGAACAAGACCCATCTTAAGGGAAAATGAAACTGGAAAAATCATCATACCCATTCATAGTAGGCATGTAAATTCTGGTATCTCAATCTGATGCCGTAGGAGACTTGAAGCAAAATAAATGCTGGTTAAGCAGAATTCTAGGAAGGGGAATCAAAGTCTAGACCTAGTTTTCATCTCTGAAATTGAGGGATTACTGCTGTTTTACCAGAAAACCAGATACTCTTTGGGTGGTCTAATACATTTTAGGAAGTGCTACGTCTACACACTGACACAAGGGGAGAGCTTTAAAAATGGGAAACAATTCTTCTCACAGTCTTTCAAGAATAATAAGAAAATATGTTTCAGTGAAAGAAACACATGCCTTCATGATGGAAATAATTCCAATCTTGTGGGGTGATGTGTCTTTTTTTGCTCCTCTGGTGCAGAGCTAATGGGAAGGTGACATGGAGAGTTGAGTCTAGATTTTTAACTCACCACCTCATTTTATTTCCTAACTGAAACTGTCTTAATGACAAAGATTATTAATAGTGACTGCTTACGGAGTGCCAACTGTCAGCTGGGCACTGATTGGCAGCTGCACATGGGTGACACATGTAAGAATAGCACCTGGCACATGGAAGAAGGATTTGAGATTCTTTCCCCATGATTCATCCACTGCCATGGAGCTGTCCACAGAAAGACAGTGGCAGACCAAGTCAAGCACAAATGCAGTTTGGGTGCCACTTGGAATCTATGAGTTCGTGTCATGAAGTTCACTCATCAGGGTGTGCACTATTCGCTTTATTTCATAAAAATTAACAAACACAAAAGGGAGGAACTGGGAAGACCTCTACAGAAGGCTGGAAAGCAACTTATTAAAAAAATGAAGTTCAATGGCATGATGAGTGGGTCATAACTGTGAGCAGAGACACATGTCAGGCAAAAGCTAAAACAGGGGCAGGGGAATCTATCCTGAGGAAAGAAGCTCTTTAAAAAGGTTCCTGGAGATAAGGAGAGCATGTCAGCTTACTGGGTGGGTCCCAAGGAAGGAAACATAACTGAGTTGGAAATCAGAGATGAAAGAACTGGCTCAGAAGCTGGGAAGTCAATGAGAGGAAGCATCCCCTTCCAAAACTGCTAGAGTAATAAAGAAGTGTCCAAGAGAGGGATTGAATAGAGAAACTAAAAGGAGTTTACAGCATTAACACGTATGTCACGGAGGCACTCATTAATCTCTAGCAATTCTATGTCCAATTTTATGTAAGTGTGCAATTTTCTAAGAAGGGATCCGTTGCTTTCATATTCTTTTTTGTTTGTTTCTTTTTCTTTTTCTTTTCTTTTGCCAGTGCTGGGGAATCAAACCCCCGGGACTTGTGAATGTAAGACAAACACTCTTAACACTGAGCTACACCCCCCAACCTCAGCTTTCAGATCTTCAATTTGCTAGACTGTAAAACTCCATGGAGGCAAGGAATGTTAACAGTCATTAAATCCCAATTCCTACTGTACACAGTAGGATCTGTACATAGTAGAATTTAATATAGGTTGATGAATAAATCTATCAGTAATTAGGTCAGTGCCCAACAAAGATTGAGAATCTTTTGCTTAGAGCGACAGTTCTCTGTATAATTAATAAATCAACTGGTAGAATTTAAGAAGAAGGTGAGAAAGGCTTTAATTTTTGCCTGAAACAAACCCGCTAATATTGAAGCAGAGTAGGAAATATTTAGAAGTAGTAGATTAATATGTACATGAATTAAAAATGAGGCTCAGCACACTCAATGAAGGCTGGAGCTGGGAACAAGAGAAACTAAAGGTGATGGCTGAGACACTATGGGGAGCCCACAAAGCAAATGAAACTCTAATACAGATGATGTAAGGGAGTTAGAGATTTGCTTCTCCGTTGTTTACTTATACTGAGACATAAAACTCTAAAGAAGGTTTAGATTAAGTCRTTCACACTGAATTTATATTAAACTGATAATTGAGGAGATAATCCCTGTGACAGATGCATTAAAACTCACTCTATGTATTTTAATCACTTAAAAATGCATCAAATCATAGGAGAATCAAACCAGTACCTTTGATTTTTCATTTCATAGAAAATGTAAAGAGAAGTGCCCATGCTGTTAAAATTTATCTTCGCAGCAGATAAAATCACTTTAAAAGCACATTTCTCTTAAGAATCTTTAAACCTTGGTATTCACTTTTTTTTGTATTCAAACAGAGTGCTGTCCTTACCTYACTGTCCCTTGTTGACAGGTTTATAACGTTTCACATGCACACTCAGCCCTTCAAACAGCCCTTCACAGTCGTTTGTTAGGGACTCACCTCAAAATGCTCCGTGTGTCCATCCCCTCTTTCATTTTCTTTGCTATAAACAACAGCAACAACAAAATATCACAAAATGTCCATTTGTTTTATGACAATGCCTTTCATCTATTCGTATTATGACTTCATTTATTTTAAAATGGGCTGAGTAGCTCTAAACCAAAATTTTTTAAAAAATATTTATTTTTTAGTTGTGTTGGACCCAATACCTTTATTTATTTGTTTTTATGTGGTGCTGAGGATCGAACCCAGGGCCTCACATGCACTAGGTGAGTGCTCTACCACTGAGCCACAACCCCAGCCCCTAAACCAAATTTTTTTAAAATTCAAAAACAAAACATACAGAAAAAACCCCTAGAAGCACAAACAAACATTATCTGTTCTTAGTAGCACTATGGTAGATTTTCTATTCTAAGTATTTTCCTTGCTATGAAATATCCTCAGTCAACATAGTCCTTTAATTCCATTCTTCTTAGTTCTTATAACACACATTGAATTAAACAAATAAAAAAGATTTTTTTTTTCATGCTCCTGAAAACAATGTGAAGAGAAAATTCTGAAGTTACCTTTCATTGGACATCGGTTCAATATCATCAGGTCCAGGCTTCTCATGTGACCGAGTGGAACTGAGACTTTCCACGTTCTGCAACAGAACAATTATTGGTTGCCCAATAGGCAAAGCGTAAGAAATATGCAACAGCAGACTGTCCTTTTTTTAAATTAGAAAAATCAAATAATATGTGGATATAAACTAATTATAGTTCTCACATTTTTATCTTCATTAAAACTAGTAAAATTAGGACACTTTATTATATTCTGCTTGTATAAAGTTGAATATTATGTTTTATTGTTCTTTAACAAAGGTATCTGACAGCATCATGGAAATGGTCACTGTGCCCTATAATGTCTTTTATAGGTATTATGCATCTTTTATAAAAACTCAACAGCAAAACTCATATTGTCAGAGAATTGGGATGGTTAAGACTAGAATCAAAAAAGATAATCTCAAATCTAATTTAAAAATTGATGTAAATTCACTGCTTATTTAACATTCTTAAAGGATAAACTGCCGATATGATTTGGGGGTAGAATGTAACTTATTCCTAAGKTGTAAAACATCCATAAAAACAAATGGAGTTAAGAACTTTTCTTTCTAYAATATTTAATATTATTCTTTAYATTAGCTAAGGTTGACAAAATACAACTAGAAAATTTACTTTGAATAATATATATTTCAGGTTGACCAAATGAGTTTATGCTTATCAGAATCAGAGACATATTTATCAAGTTTTTTTTTTTTTGACTGCCTCTGTGAACACAGGCYAATGCTTTCTAAAAATAATTCAGGTGACCGAATGCAGAAAAAGTCATTGCCATGAAGGATTAAATGTGCTCTTGTTTGCTTATTTGCAAATTTAGTAGATTAAAAAATATAGCTGTCTTGGAAATTCGGACCTGAATTTCATTGAACTCAGAGATTCACATCTGCATCAAAGGGATTTAGGCATAACCCACTTATCTCGTGACATCCAGATAAATAAAGAGCAATYGTGGAAGCATCATGTGTTCACCTACTTATTAATAACCTACCATCATGAAAAGCCCTTTAAGAATAAATCTGGTTAAGGTTCACAAGGATCCCATGAAATTGGCATATATAAAAATCTCCATCAAATAAACATATAATCAGAGTAGAAAATTAATCTTTGGCRTGGTAGGTGAGCAAATTATTTTCTGTTTACTTTGGTTTGGCCAGTTTGTCTGGAATTCTGCTTGACACCTGGGCTCCATCAAAGAACAGAAGGGAGATGGCATAACAGAATAATTATGATAGGAGCTCTGGGGCCGGAATGCCTGGCTCAGAATTCTACCTCCATCAACTGTCAACTGTCTTTCTCTACTTGAGCCTCAATTTCCTTATCTGGAAAATGGAGATGACAACACTGCTTAACAAGAGGCTGCCAGGAGGATTAAGTAAAATAATACATGTAAAGCACTAGAATAATGCCTGGCACACTGAATGAGTATTAGCTGTTATCATTATTTCCAAAGCTCTGAAACCTGCATGGAAAACATTTCACTATTTGTCCACAGTTAAGACAGTGTCCCAGACACTGGAAAGATAGTGTTTGCGTCTGCCATTAGAATACTCAGCCTCATAATTTATATTGTTAGATAATTTTAGAATGGATCTGAGAAATAAAAAAATAAATATGGCAACTTTGGATTATATTTATATCTTTAATGTTGGAGTTAGAAAAGCCCTCTCTAAAAGGGCTCCCATTAAATCAAAGCAAAATAGCTCTTATTACCTGAATGTGACCTTACTGATAAAGAGGGATGTGTCTATGACAAAGAACTTTTGTTCTCATTGGTAATCTTCAATAGATTATCAAAATCTTTAGTGAAAGATCTAGTGCGGCAGTATTAGGTTTTCCTGAGGCTCTGAAACAGAAATTCCTAGGGAAAGCATGGTCCTCTTCCTTCTTCTTATTTCAAAAGTGTTGATGAAGTAATACATTTAAAGTGATATGTAAATGAGTATTTCAGAAGAAATCAACATTTTCATATTAAAACTAAGAAATATTCAGAAAAGAGAGATCAGAGAATAAGCCATAAATAGTTTATAGATATTTATAGATATTTCAGTTAGATGATGTTAGAAGATTGATTTTCTCTTCCTAAACAGAAAAAAAATATATAATTGATATAGATTTTTGAAAACTCTAGAAAAAAGTTATGTTACATAAAAGAAAGCTTTGCAAAAGTACTGATTTACAGGGTTACCACAAGGGGTTACCACAAGTGTTAACTTCAATTCCCTCCTGTCCTCTTTTAGTGTTTGTTCCATASTTTTTTTGTTTGTTTGTTTGGTACCAGGTATTGAACTCAGGAGTGCTTACCCCCTGAGCCACATCCCCAGCCCTTTTGTGGATTTTTTCACTTAGAGACAGGGTCTTGCTGAGTTGCTTAGGGCCCATGTTTAAGAGCTCTCCAAGAAGCTGGGTGTGGTGGTGCACGCCTGTAATCCCAGCAGCTAGGGAGGCTGAAGCAGGAGGATGACAAGTTCAAAGCCAACCTCAGCAATTTAGTGAGGGCCCTAAGCAACCCAGTGAGGCCCTGCCTTTAAATTAAGGGGGRAAAAAAAAAAGTCTGGGGATGTAGCTCAGTGGTTAAGGACTCCTGGATTCAATCCCTGATACCAAAACAACCAACCAAACAAACAAACAAAAAGAGCTCTTCTAGGATATGAGTTTTTACTGGAGTCATTCACAAATGATGACTTTCAGTACTGTTCAGCAGTTCTCTCTAAMGCTTTCCCACAATTTCTGTTGTCATGTTATTTTTCCACACATTGGAGACTGTTGAATATTCATAGTCTGGTTCAGGGACCCAGCATGCCAGCACACAGTGTTCCTCTGCTAAGGTTGCTGGGTTGCACCTATACCTTTGGAAATGGGGGACATCTGAAGAATGTTCAAAGTACTCCAGTTTTAGCCAAACAAAACTTGACAAGCGTAGTAAGGATCTATGAGGACATTAACAAAAGTATTTATTTTCGTAAGCACAAAATGTTTGGTAAATTCTAATTTTCACCCTTTGACTAGGATTTAGGGAGGAAAGATGAAGGTAAAGAAAAGGATCAGTAATTCCTTACTTCATTGAGATGAAGGAAAGGGAAAAAGGTCACACAGAGGTCAAAATAAGGCTGAAACTCAGATCACCTCTGCTGGGAGTTATGTCACTAGACTTTCATGTACGCTGCAGCTGCTAACAGTACTTACCCTAGGAAAAATATTCACATCAGGCCTTTTGAAGGTTTTGAATGGTTTATGTCCCAAACCCATCTCTAGGTGTAGTAAAAGACTAGACCACTAATGTATGCATTTATTAAAGGTTAAAGTCATAAAATTCTTATAAAAATGATTTATTGCATTAACTTTTAATTACTTTTCCAAATTTTGACTCCTTTAACAGGTAATAGGAACTCTTTTTAATATAGTAAAGAACAGACTGTGACATTAAGCATAATTTAATGAACTTGCTTCTTGAAATTTTTTAACCAGATAAAGCCTAGTTTATAATCCATAACGTTCTGACTCATATTAGTCCTACCAGTGACTTTCAAAACACAGATTCACTAGCACATAGTATATTGGATAAATTTGGGGTGTAAGAAGGAGTTCAATTTAAAAAAAAAAACTGCTCTCCTTAATTATAAATACAACCTTCAAATTTAAAAAAAAGCAACTGCTTTGAAATACAGCTAGCTTCAGACTGTGGAATTTATTTGTAAATTTCTTTTTTCCCTCCTCTCTGTGTTAGCATTGAGAGCTAGACTCAAAACCGGTTTGACGACTGACTGAAGCACTTGAAAACACTTGGAACAAAAACAAATTTGTCTTCTAAAATTGTAAAATGCTGACAAGGTCTTTGTAGAGGACACACGCACACACACATACATACACACACACACACACACACACACACACACACACACACACACAAATGCCCCCTTTCCATAGACAAACAGGTCAAACTGAAGGCTGCAGTGAGGCTGGTAGTCAAAACAGGTTCTTCGTCTAACCTTGAGCTCCAAGAGAAGGACAGTGTTTGATACAGTCTTGTTAACAAAGGATCAACGGCAGCACTGCATCCCTTTTCTTACTCTTTTGTACATCTTATGTTTTATTGCCTAGAACTGGAAAAGCTAATTCATATTCAAAAGAACTGCTGGTATCATAAAGGAGGCCCCAGGAAGAGCTTGCCAGCTGTCCCCCCACTCACTCTAATTCTACTTTCCTTCCACTGTCATAGGCAGCCATGTGCTCAGCAACAACACACTACCTCGCCACACCTGGGGTTAGACAGGACTTCTCTCCAATAAGATATGAGAAAATGACATATGTGGCTTCTAGGCCTGGCGAACAAAATGCCCCCACCAGGGACATTTCTTGATACTCATTCCTCCTATGAGCTGGGAAAAGATGTGAAAACCACCAGAGTGTTCTAAAAACTTCTTGCTGGAGATGGCAGGGATGCATTTGGCCTGGGTCTCTGAAATACTGCAAGCACACTCTCTCAGACCCTGCCCTGAACTCCTGCTGCAGATGATCCCTTGGGAAAGAATTCATTGTGTTTGAGACAGTGAGTTTGGGGCTTTGTGTGAGACAAATTACTGTAAACAATACAGCAACCATTCGTTCACTCATGTTTTCCAACTTTCCTGTGGGGTAGGATGGTACATGGAGAACCAGACTCCAACTACAGAACCAGACTCCATTGTTGATATTTCTTTCATTTTTATTATAGGTTCCATCTGACTAGCAACATGACACATCAATTGACAAAACACAGAGATCAAAGAGCACAGCATATTCTTCATTATCTGATAGTATGCAAAGGAAGGGAAATCTAGATGTGTTCATAAACATGGTGAGGATGACTTAGAGTTAGAAGAGCATTCACTTTCCTTAGATGAAAGGCAGGCTGTGGTTGGAATATAAGATGGTACTGGGGACTGGGGATGTAGCTCAGTGGTGGAACACTTGCCTTGCACTTGTGAGGCACTGGATTTGATCCTCAGCACCACATTAAAAAACAAATAAATAAAGGTACTGTGTCTRTCTATAGCTAATTTTT